GGTTATTTCTATATAATTTAACGATAATTCAATATAATGCTCATCTTGTTATTTCATCTCGATTAATATTAATCTCCACATTTTTGAAACCATGAATCGATCAATGTTAGACTGCCACCATTAGAAACCTGGAAGCACTGAAAGACGGCCGTTTCGTCCTGGTATGGGACTCCTCAGTGCGCATCCACGACCCGTGCACCCCGCAGGACTCGAACCTGGGACCTTCGGTATTGTGCGCGAACGCCTAACCATCGTACCACTCAGCCAGTATCTAACGGTCATCCAGTGCTTTCAGGTTTGTCTAATGGTGGTAGTCTGACATTGATCGATTCATGATGTCAAAAATGTGTAACTTAACAATCTTCACAACAACCCCGTAATGTAATGTTAATTTGTTCATTTCTTAAGTGTATCTTAGTCGAAACGGGTTTTTTTCTGATTTTCATTACGCATCAGTGTTTGTAGAATTTTCTTTTTTGCACGCATCCTAATATCGCTTTTAACTTGTTCTCTAATTTTTACTCACCTGTTCTCACTAATTTTGCTTTTTTTCGCCCTCTTTATCTCACTCTCTCTAAATGAGCCTCTGTTCAATAGTTTGTTATTATCTAAACTATGGTGTATATTTCCCGATTTCTCATTCATTATTCATGTTTTAATTGTCAATACTTATGTAAGAAACACAAGATTGGGCTTTTAACTCTTGTTAAATAATTTTCCCTTAATAATTTGAACTCTCTTCAGGAGTTCAATTACACATCTTGATTAATGGTCACAGAATGATCGAGAGTCTGTCTTCCTACTTGAAATGTTCTCACGTGTGACCATGTGTGGGCATAGCCACTATGAGAAAAATCCTAATCACTGCCTTCACGTGTCAGATGTGCTGTTTAGGAACTCATAAGAACGATAAGCAAACATTATACAGAGCTTAAACTGTGAAGAGTTGGAAAAGTACTGATTTCAAACAAATAGGTGTACATGAGATTGTAAGGGGACAAATTGAAGTATGATGAGCCTGACTATCTGCATCTCACAGTTGATTGTTACTTCAGTACTTGAATCAAGTACTTTTTGCTTCAAATGTCATCGCACTATTCAATTAGCTACTGATTGCTGGAGGGAAAAGCGACTCTGAAATGCAGGTACTTCCAGTTGACGAGTCCAAAATACAAATAAACGCGCGATCTGGATTCCACTGTTAGTCGCATTCTATCTTTTCTAGATAAACTTTTGTACTAATGGCTTTATCGAGGTAATCTGCACATACCAACCAAGACTGATCAACTTTCGGTCAAAATATCAACAGGGAGTTAATTCAGCTAAAGCATTTCAAATCGTAAAAGATAGCATTAATTCCTTGAAGAAGTTCTGTATGCATCTTTTCCTAAATGAGTGTCAACTGTCAAGTTATACTTCTCTAAACAGAGCTTGGTAGTTACGATAAAAGTAATTGAATAATTTTAATAAGAACTTACTTGTATTATCCCCCAATGGAACACTGGCCTCCGACAAGTATTCCCCAACTTGTTACTCTGTCCTTGACCTCCATTTTCATTTCTGTCCAATTATCGTTGTTCATTCTTTTTATGCCTGTCTCGATTTCTGAGCGTTCTGTGTTCCTTGGCCTTTCTGTTTTCCTTTGTCCTTGAGGGTTCCAAGTGAGGAATTGTCTTGTGACTCAGTTTAGTGCTTCCCTCAACGTGTGTGTCCTATCCACCAGCTACAGTGCTTCTTCATGATTTTTTCCTCCGCTGGAATCTGGTTTGCTCTCCCTCTCACAGTAAGTTGTTGCTGATGGAGCCTGGGACCCCTCTGGGGCTACTACCTGTCCCAAGCCCGATAAAGAGGGAGGATGGAGCATGGGTCGGTGACCTCATCCCGTAGAAAAGTAACTTGCTAAAAAAACTCTAACCAGTTGTGCAGTTGTGAACATTATTAGGTTTTATTGAAATGATGAGTGGTTCATTGTTTGTAGGACATCATAAAACACTTAAAATTCTTCACAACTGTATAATTAAAATCTGCTCTTTATTGACTTGCTTCGTGAGGAAATTCTCGAAGTTCTAGTGCGAAACCGTGACCGATGAAGTTCGAACGTGTCGAGTGTGAGACAGTTACCCACCAAAAACAGTGAGTTGAAGTTAGACTTAAGCACCATTGAATGACGGCTCAGCGGTCTAGAGTTTGCTCGCAAGATTGATTTGATTCTTGTGTGCAGGGATCATGGATGCGCACTACTGTTAAGCTCTTATACAAGGAAGAAACGGCTGTCTAACACTTCCAAGTTTTCTAACGATAATCTGACAATGATCGATTCATCGTGTCAATCAATAAATTAGCTTCCATTCAATCAATGTGCTACTTATTCCAATATTCCTTATAATAAAACAATTGTTTAAAACAATCATTTCCATATGTTCAATGTACAAGAATGAATTCAGTCAATATTTTTTGTTAGGATATTCATCCAATATCCTAAGAGAATTATTGGTCTATTCCTATTGGTCAATTTTATGGTCGTCCTAGATATCATGTCACGTGCACCCATGTTGTTTCTTATTGGTTGTCCTGACTATCAATGTCAACTCAAATGTTGCTTCCTATTGGTTGTCTTAACTGTCAATGTCACAAACTTTGATCATGTTTCCTATTCGACCTAAATGTATGAATACGCATTATCTGTAACGTTTTAGGACCCGGACCCCTAGTCCGGGATTCTGATTCTTTTCTTGATTCGGACCTCGTACTTTCTAGATGCTTGTAGAATACACGTTCTACTTCACATTCAAATCTTCTTATTTTTACTCAATATGGTGGTTGGGATAATCGGATTTGAGTAGTATGTCGTGTCATCGGATCCTCGATCTTCGCTCTCGTTTTCCGACTAAAGGGTAAACTCGTAATAGTTCAAGCATATCAAGTTGACGTGTTTACGTGCAGGCGTAACATTTTTGATACACAATAGAAGCATAGTACTTTCAGGATATATATGTTCATTAGACACTATTGATTTTAGTTACATTTTCGAAATTAACCAAACAGGAATCCAATGATTATTACTATGCTGTTTTTATAAGTGAGATTTTTTAAAAATTAATTTGTAATGAGTACATTTCGTCTTGTCCGCGCGCGCACACCTACACACAAATACACATACACGTGTGCTGAACGTATACAATTAAAATATTTTTCTCTGTTCGACAATATTCATTACTTATTTTAAGGGATATACTACTTATTTTTTTCATTAATTAGTATTATAGTTAGGAACGTTACTACTTTGACTAAACTAATGATATTTATGCTTACAATACTCACTACATTGTATGTGTGAAGAGGTCATTTACTGAAGATGATGGCTGAGGTTTACACAATCTTGTGGATTAACTGGAGTTAGACAATAAATGCTGTTGTTGTATGTCAGCTGTGTGATCAAGTGGTTAAGCGTTCGCACACAAGACTAAGGGCTTTGTGTTCGAGTCCCACTTGAAGAGTCATGGATGCTTACTGTTGAGGAGTTCTGTACTAGGAAGAAATGTTGTTCTGAATCTGGTTCATCCTCTTTTTCTGTCGTCTTTCCTTCGTCTGTTTCTATTGTTAGTACTTTTTATCATTATCTGTGGATGCCAATTCAATAATCTGTGATTTAAATGCTTTCTGTAGAACTAAGAGTTCATTTGTTTTATCCTTGACACCCGAAAATGCCTTGGTACGTCCGAGATTGCGGGAAATCTGCTCTCCCTGTTATATGGGCATGCGTGTATAGCCAATGCCGTGGAATTCTTACTCATCCACTTATCATGGCACTAATGTTGTTTGCGAAATTTAGAGGATAGAAAGAGATTATCCAGCTATTTAACTAGGTTGATAGGTTTGAAGGATCCACCTTCATGGCACAATCCCATGAAGTCAGTGACAAGTGGACTGAGTCATGTTGGTAGGTGTAGGCTACCTGGTTGGGGTCCGCGAGACGAAAGTCACCAGTCGTTAGACACCTTGAAACATGGATCAAAATCGTTTGCAATCGCGCAGGTGCATTCATTCTTTGTGTTCTCTCAAATTCTAACCTTCTGAATTCTTCATCACCTTTATCTTTCACTTTTCACGTTTGTTTCATTGAATTATACTTTTTCAATAATGTCTTCGAACTCTAATCTCTCCGTTTACTGCTAATACTTCTACTACCTCTATTACTATAGTGTTTGAATTAACAATTCCAAATCTCTGTGTACTAATGTGGTGGGATAGCAACTTGAACTGATGTACGTATGAACACACTAATTTCTACGTTGTAACTAACTGACTAACCTATGAAAACATGGCAGAAATCCATGAAGTCACTGAAAAGTGGACTGAGTCATGTCGGTAGATGTAGACTACCTGGTTGGGGTCCGCGAGACGAAAGTCATCAATGGTTAGAGACCTTGAACGACATGGCTCAGAATCGTTTGCAATGGCGCAAGTGCATTCATTCTTTGAGCTCTTTCAAATCCTAATCTGCTGGATTCTTCAACACCTCTACCTTTGTCTTTCTAACCTTATCTCACTGAATTATACTTCTTGAATAATATCTCCGAACCCTAGTCTTCTTCATTACCATTAATACCTCTACTACCTCTACTACTATGGGATTTGAATTGACAATTACATCTCTGTGCTGATGTGGTATGGCAACATGAACTTATGTACATAGACGTACGAAATTCAACGTTGCAACTGACTGACTGACTAACCTATGAGAGTCGGCAAACCACTCCATTTTTAACATGCACACCAGCTTCATCATCCTAATGAAAGAATCAATAACCTCTAAACTCTACTGTTTACTCACTGGTTTCAATATTTGACTTATTCAATAAACTAACACAGATTGTTGTTTTTACAGTTCATCATTATATAAACTTTCTACCTACAGATTAATTCCATTTTTATTAAAAATATAATAATTATTTATTACTATTATTATTACTGTAATGATTTATTTTATTTCATTATAGAGATGTTAATCTTATGTATTTAAATGCTGTCTATTGTCTTGGTCATTTGGGTGTGATCTTGTCGAAAATGCCACATGTACAACAGCTAATTATACAATTTTTACAACAAAATTTAAATCCAACTAAACTTTTACCAGAATTACAAATTAAATCAATGGAACAATTAGGTTGTATTATAATTGGTGGATCTGTAAGTCTGTGTGTGTGTCTGTGTATTGATTTTTTATTGATTTATTGATTGGGTTTTTGGGAGATTGGGACATGTGGGTTATGTATGACTAATCACTGACTACCTTAACGATGAGTTATGTTTTGTGGTCAGTCTCGTGTGTTGTTACGGGTGGTATGAGGGCGGTTGTCACTTCTCGGCTGCTCACACCGTGGAAGGGTGTTTCTTGAGGGACTTGAAAAGGAAGATAGATTAGTGTTGGTCTTAATGACCTGAAAGCGTGACCGCAGAGCCCAAGGGACAACTGCTTGAGGCCGGTCACGCTCGGCCTTTTTATGAAAGGTTTTTCGAGGATTGGCTCCGTTCTTGAAAGCCTTTATTGGGCACCCTTACACAAGGAGACGGAAATCCGTGAGGTAGGGGAGGTGTGACATTTTTAGGGTCGAACTTTTCTAACCCTTCCTTTCTTGTGAGAAGGCAGCATTACTGCAGATGCTGGTTGTCTGAGGGAAACACCTTACTGCTGTCACACCTGTATGCAGTCAGCACTACGACTTCTCCCTCAGACATTGAGCTGCTTTTAGTCTCATCGCTCTGCAATCGACCTGCCTGGCATGGTAGAACCTTCAGGAACATAAGTTCCAGTCAATATATCTCGATTGGGTGATGACGATAAGCAAGCCCGACCACCACGTCAAGGTAGCAGCTTCGGTCGGGGTTTGGTGGTGTAGGAGTAGGTTGGAAGAACAAGTCTACGAAGTCATTGACAACTGGACTGAGCCATGTCGGTGGTAACTGATGGTTAGAGTCCTAGAACGATATGGCTCAAAATCATTGGCAGAAGCACAGATGCATCCGTTGTTTGTGTTCTCTCAGTTTCTAATCTGATTTCTTCATGTATCTACGCACGTACGAACTTGTACGTCGTAGACGACTGACTATTTGTTAGTTTGTAGATTTTACTACTAACCCAGGTAACAGGATGTCTATCATTTCCTCCTCATCGGTGAAGGTAACTTCATTCAACGCCGCCTACACTCGACTTCGCAACAGTGCCTCTAGAACTGTCTACTCTTCAACAATCGGTGGTTGATAACACAAAATGTAATGAACGAAGATGTTAAGAGCAAATGGAATTCTCCTGTAGTAACTATTGGGCAACAAACTACACTGTATATCACTTAGAAATGGCGTTGCGAATAGCATCCACCACACTAAGATTGAATGCTGGAGTTTTTATGATCTCTGAGAAGTTGGCACTGAATCGCAATTGTCTGTTCAAAACCCATAGTAGTAGAAGTATTAGAAGTAATCGGAGAGATTTGGGTTCGAAGATATTATTCAAGAAGTACGGTCGAAGGAAATAAGCTTAAAAAGAGAAAGATAGAGGTGACGAGGAATTCAGAAGAATATGATTTGAGAGAACTCAAAGAGGGGATACAATTGAGCCATTGCAAACGATTTTGATCCATGTTATTCAACGTCTCTAACTATCGGTTATTTTCGTCTGGTGGACCCCGACCAACTAGTCTGCATCTACTAACATGGCTCAGTTTACTTGTGAGTGACTTCATGAATTTGCGCCATGTTTTGGTTTGGTTTCCCCTCACCTTCTTCCAGCTTCCCTCTACATCGCTCTTCGAAGTTGTCGGTGGTTAGGAATATGTAACAGACGTTCTAACTACCTCAACTGATGAAGTTTCAAGACTTCACCATTTTTTATGCTATCCTTACCTAGTACCCTTTTCCTAGCAATACCATTATTTACTCGATAGTCCGACGATAAATGAGCAATGCTTCGAAGACACCTATGTTTGGAAACCAGTAGCCTACGAATATCTGCTGCTCTTACTGGCCATGTTTCCTAGCCGTGAAGTAGGACGGAGCTAACTGTTGTGCAGTAGACTCGTTCTTTGGTTAGCTGACAGATATCTCCTTTACATCATAAGTGACGAAGGTTGGCAAAAGCCAATCGAGTCTTCTGTATCCGTGCTGAGATTTCGTCAGTCACCAGGCCATCAACACTGATGAGACTACCAAGATAAGTGTAGCGGTCGACACGCTCAACTACTTCACTCCATATCAAGATTAAGTTATGTAAATAAGTGTAGACTGTTTTTGACCATAGTCCACGCAGTTATTGTTATTCATGTTTAGAGCTTGGACAATTTGGCTCAGAATTATTCGTCATTTGTCATAACTGCGTGGACTTTTATTCTCCGCTTAAAAACCGAGTCTCATATATATTTTTTAAAAATCTTTTCGATTACCACTACTGTTACTATTACGTCATCTATAAATCTACAATTGTCTAGATGATGTTATCTCTCTGTGTACACTCATGTTGTATGATAACAATTTCAATAAATTTATGTTCATGTATTTCAAACTTATGCGTAACATCTAAAGGATTTTAGAAATTTGATCATTGTTAGACCAACCTGGAAGCACTGAACGGCCTTGATTAGATTATCAGGATTCTAGTGAGAACCTGTGATCAATGGAGTTTAACCATGTAGAATATAGGCAGTAACTCCTGTAGACAATGGATAATCATGTTGCACAATATTGTAGATTGATTCAAGTTAGATAATCACAACTTTGAATGCAGGTTCACGTGTGAGACCTAAGGTCCTAGGTTTGATTCCCGCTAGTAAGGTTCATGAATATTCACTGCTGATGAGTAAGTTCCGTACTAGGACAAGACAGTTGTTCAATGCTTACATGTTTTCAATGGCAGTTTAACACTAAAGATTTTCTTTACATTTCTTATTCTCCTCTAGTCAATGATTTATGATCAAATTATGGATATATTAACTGCAATACGTGTACGTAGTACTCGTGAAATGACATTAAATCCTAAAATGAAAAATTCTCGATTAAAGTAAGTGTTAGTTCAGTTAGTGTAATGCATATTATCTCCTTTTCGCTGATTTGTGAAAACTTATCATTCATTATTAAAATCAATTAATTTCTACATACAATGATTTACAGTTTAGTAGTTTGTTAGGAATATTCACCAAATATTTCTAAGAGTACTACTATTTTTGGAAGTATAATCTGATTGGTCGATTTCTATTGGTCAAAATAAGTAGTCGTTTTAACTCTCAAGGTCAAATACTTCAATGTTGTCTCTGATTGGTCGTCCAGACTGTCAAGGTCATTTCAAGTGTTCTTGCCTGTTGGTCGTCGTCTAAAACTGTCAATGTCGCAGACTTTGATGCTGTTTCCTATTCGACCTAAATATATAAGTATGCACTATCTGTAAGACTTCATGATTCCGATTCCGTTCCTTTCTGCCTACATCTCTTCTGTACTCGACCCAATAAACAAATCCATTCAACGGTGTTGCGTTCTGATCTATATTGGAGATTCGGAAATAGTAATTTGGGTCGTACTGGGATATTTGAATTTGGACGTCGGTAGGACTGAATAGCAGCTATACGTAGCAGCATTATAACATAGTTGACGTTGATATATTTGTCAATGTTGATTGGATTCTACAGATTTATGTTTAAGTCAATTGTGATAAAGGGATACAAACCCTCAAACGTAGGTCTCATATGGTCTAAATTTCGCTATTGTGAGAAAAATCATTACCCGACATGTGAGCAAAGCGTATTAAGAGTGTTTGAGCCTGTGATGAACATTGTGGATGGCTAGGCAGTGCTTTCGCAAGCATTGCTAACAGTCCATAAATAAAGTTGGTTAGCAGGGTGACCGAGTTCATTGATACTGATGGTGACTGTTTGGCAATATTCTCGAGGGCCATTGTGATTGGGGTGCTGTATTGCATGGATATCACCGTTGCTAATAATAATGAGTTTGACAGTCATATGTAAGCAGGATGGGTCGAAATTGCCTGTTCATGCGGTGCATATTGATTGACGAAGCGAGCATAGATCGGAAATAATTACTTTATATATACTAGTGTATATAAATGGTGTGAATGGTCCACCAGGGTATCAAGTATCTGTTTGATAGTTGCATCATGGGATTGAGCGGAACTGTTCATGTCGAAATGCCAGCACGTGATCAGTCTCCTTAGTTCTCTTGAAAGCCAATGTAAAATAATACCCTTGACAATAGAGTTTAAGGAAAATCCACACTTTCGCTCCGAAATGTCCATACGTATATAGTTAGTGCCAAACAAATTCTACTGACTGACTTCTCGTGGTTGGGATATTTATTATTTGCGAAATTAAGAATATGAAAAGCTAATGTCCGACACTTATTGCCGGTTGTTGGATATAGAGGAATCTATCTGAGGAAGTAGGTAGGTTTGTCAAAGGAAAAATGACATATAACACTGTAGTGAACGAAAACACAGGTGGGGCAGCCGAATTGTATTTAACGAAAATTACAGAGTTACTCAGTAAAATTGCAAAACCATATCGTAAATCGGTCATTTGCAAAGTATCAGTTCATCCTATCGAGCTGGACTGTTCCTGTTGCAAAACATCAATCCATTGTCACTATTCATGCGTTTCATAAAAATTCCATTGTGTTCTTCTAACTCTTCCTTTCTTGATCTTCCCCCATCTTCTGCTGCCAGACATTACGTTGACACTGACGTCATATACTACTTATAAGTAGCTCACACCACAACACTATTGTTGATGACGACTGGCTAACACATTGGGACTGTATGTCAACGTAGTGTTGCTTCACTCTACCTTGTGGATTATATTGTGAATTTAGTTTTTTACAATAAATTTAAGGTTTTTCATCATGAATTGACATGAATTATATAATGCAATGCTTTTGTTATTCTACTATTTACAAATTTGAGGAGATTTTCAGTTGAAATTATAGACTATGAGTTAAAGTGTGAGGAGAATACTACTTTAACATACAATTTGTTTTCAGGTTAAAATTCACTTTACGTTTTCTTATATAAAAAAAGCGTATTGTCAATTTTTACTTGGTTAAATAATCCAACGTAGGAAGTTATCAATATTTGTGTAGCGTAAAATTTCCCATAAAATTTTTTGATGCACCACACTACCCGAGTTCTGATTGGTTCAGTCGAAAACTTTAAGATTTTTTGCTGGGGGATCGTTGTGAATCATCGAAACCATGAATTAATCCACCATTAGAGAGCTAGTGACTAACTTACTGACCGAAATCTCGGAGTTCTAGTAAGAATCTGTGACCAAAGTAGTTCAACTGTGTCAGGGTGTGAGAGGTCACGCAATACCGCTGTTCGGTTGATTGATTAACGAAGTTAATCGTTAACGCCGTTGGATGCTGGTTCAGTGTTCTAGAGGTTAAGCAATTAGGCGCGAGACTAAAGGTCTTGGGTTCAATTTCCACAAGCTAGGGTCGTTGTTAGGACATTCATCCAATATCCTAAGGGAATAATTATTGGTCAATTCCTATAGGTTCATTCCTACTGGTCAATTTTATGGTCTTCCTAGTAGATATCAATGTCACGTACTTCAATGTTGTTTCTTATTGGTCTTCCTGATTATCGATGTCACTTCAAATGTTTTTCCTTATTGGTCGACTTAACTGTCAATGTCACAAACTTCAGTGTTGTTTCCTGTTCGACCTAAATGTATAAATACGCATTATCTGTAACGTTTTATGACCCGGACCCGGATCTCTAGTCCGGTATCCTGATTCTTTTCTGGACTCGGACCTCGTAATTAGCACCGCCTTTCTTTATAGACAGAAACCATTGATCAAACACAGTGAACAAAGACAAACATCTTTTTTTTCATTTCACTAATATTCTGTCGAATTAATTGAATTTAACCGCCTTGTTTGCTTTCTTTGTTTAAACTAAACAGACATTTATCTGAAGCTATGATCAATGTATTTGCGAATTTATCAACTTTTGTACAAGGTCAATCGAAATTATACAAATTATTACATCGTCTCCTGGAACATTATGTACATGTTGATATGGAATTAGATCAAGATTCGAAAACTACTAGTAGTACACTTGTAAGTTGAATATATGTGTATCTTTATGTGTGTATGTGCCCGATGAATTAGTTATTGTGATCAAGTTGTTCGACTTTTTGCATTATTACGGGAGTTTCAAGTTTGGAATACCTAGTTTCAGTTGTGACCATATAATGCTGTGTACTGGTTAAGCGTTCACGCGTAAGACCGAAGGTCTTGTTACACATTTGAAATCATCAATCAATCATTGTTAGACTACCACCATTAGAAACCTGGAAGCACTGAAAGACGGCCGTTTCGTCCTGTTATGGGAATACTCATCAGCAGTGCGCATCCACGCCTCCTGCTTCTCGCAGGATTCGAACCCAGGACCTTTGGCATTGTAGGCGAACGCCTTACCACCGGACCACTGGGCCGGCATCCAACGGTGTTAATGTCTAACTCTGACTGATCTAAGGATTTTGCGCGAACTCACCCATTTGTCTTTGGTATTAGTTACTGCCTACCGCCGACAGGGTTGAACTCCATTGGTCACGTCTTCTCAACTAGAACTCCGAGAATTTCCTCACGAAGCTAGTCACTAGTGAGCACTGTTACGATATTTTGGGGCACAGTCTTGTGTTTGATTCTCGTGCTCGGCGGGGTATATGGATGCGCACTGCTGACGAATCGCATACTTGGACGTAACACTTCATTTTGATATACTTGAACTATTACGAGTTTACCTTAGTCGGAAAACGAGAGCGAGGATCGAGGATCCGGCAACATGACATACTACTCAAATTCGATTATCCCAACCCCCATGTTGAGTAAAAATAATAAGACTTGAATGTGAATTAGAACCTGTATTCTATAAGCATCCAGAAAGTACAAGGTCCGAGTCCAGAAGAGAATCAGGATCGCGGATTAGGGATCCGGGTCCGGGTCATAAAACGTTACAAATAATGGGTATTTATACATTTTGGTCGAATATGAAACAGCATCGAAGTCTGTGACATTGACCGTTAGGATGACCAATAGGAAGCAACATTTGGAGTAGTGACATTGATAGTCAGAACAACCAATAAGGAACAACATTGGAACACGTGACATTGATATCTACTAGGAAGACCATAAAATTGACCAGTAGGGATTAACCAACAGGAACTGACCAGTAATAATTCTCTTAAGATATTGAATGAATATCCTAACAGAAACAATGCTTTCAAGTTTCTAGTGAGGATCTAGGATTGATAAGTGCATGATTTATATTCAGTTTAAGCAATTTACTCATGAGGTCCAAGAGAAAAATAAAGATGATGAGGAATTGAGAAGGCTAGAATTTTCGACAATATATCTAGTGCATATATCTGCACCATTGCAAACAGTTTTGAGCTATGTCATTCAAAGTCTCTAACCACTGGTTACGATTGTCTCGCCGACCTTAACTAGGTAGTCTACTCCTACTAACTTGGCTTAGTCCAGTGGTTAGTGACTTCATGGGTTTGTGCTATGTTTTGTTGTGGCCTCCCTTAGCCTTGTTTCAGCCTACCACCTTTATGTCAGACAACATTACTTGTCAATGTAGTCGGTGATTGGATATTCGTTACAGGTCCTTACCATCCCAACTGATGAAGAATCACTACTTCGTCAATTGACCTCTCGTCCTAACTTAGTACTTTTTTTCCGAACCTCAGCATTGATTACTCGATTATCCCAAAATATATGAGCAGTGCTTCGAAGATACCGATTATCAAACACTAGTGACCTAAAAATGTCCTGTTCTGTTACTGGCCATGTTTCACATCCGTAAAGTAGGACGAAGCGAACGGCAGCGCAGTGAACTCGTCCCTTGGTCCGGCCTACGCCATAAAGGACGCAAATTGGCAAAGGCCCATCAAGCCCATCTGTGTATCCCTGACATGATTTCATCAGTCAGTAGGCCATCAGGAATGATGAGACTCTGAAGATAAGTGAGGCAGTCAACTACTTCACTACCTATCACTAGTTCAAGTGCTGACGCTAGCCAATACTGAAGCTAGATTTTTGCATTTAACGGAGAATTTTGCTTGTTAAGTTCCAAGAAGTCAACTATTGTCGAACACCTAAATATGTATTTTTGTTCTAGTACCTGGCTTAATGTTGTGAATAGCTGGTCTATACATCAACGTCCAGGTCTGAACCCAGCCTGGTTATCTCTAGTCTGCTCTTCATGAACCAATATTTTAGAAACTATATTAGTCAGTCTTCTTTCTCTGTGATTATCAGGAGAGGACTTTTATCCTTTCTATAATAGGCTAAGATTATGCCCAGTTCCTGAATTCTACTTAAGATCTTAGTCAATCTAATTGTTAAAACTGAGTCATCTTCCTTAAGTATTTATCACTAGTTCAAGTGCTGACTCTAGTCAATCTTGAAGCAGTAGTATCTTCCATTTCATGAAAGAAACTATTACCAAGATCAACTGCATACAAACTTTGTTCAAGAGAGCGAAGACACACTGCAGCACATACGAAGCATTAAAAAACGAGGAAAAACACCTGATGACTATCTTCCAAAAAAGAACGGCTATCCACGCAACTTCATTAAAAAAACATCAACCGAAACCATCATCAGAAGCGAAATCAAACACAGTAACTAATAAACGGATCATCCTGCCATACATCAAAGACATATCAGAGCATACAGTACGACTACTGAAACCATTTGGAATAGGTGTGTGGCATACAAACCAATAGAATCACTTCAATCAATCCTATGTAGACCAATGGACAAAATGATAAAGTAAGGAAAACCAAATATCATCTACAATATAAATTGCTCAAACTGTGAAAAACACTACATAGGACAAAGTGGACGACCTCTTCAGCTCCGTTTACGTGAACACCAATTAGCAGTCAAACGCCACGACAACTCTTCGCTTATCTCAGTACACACCGACAATTATGGAAACATACATTTGATTGGAACAATCTGGAAATACTGGGTAGGGGGGGGGAGGACAAAGAACACTAGAGAATTTTTAGAAGCTTGGCACTCAGGTCAGTCAATCAGCAATCAAGAAATACATTGACATTGACCCAATTTATCAACCGATCAGAAAAATCATAGGTGTGACATAGGATCAAGAAACAGATCAAAACGGGGGTGCAATCAAAACAAAGTTGCAAACAACGACAGGTCAAAAGACAACAGCAACCATTGAAGATCGAGGTCAGCAGAACAAGTTACAGGTCAAACGTGGAGAATGCTTCGAATGCTACACTTCTTCTATCTGAAGTTTGTGCTGCTGACGATGTTGTAGTTCAGTAGAAGAACAATGTTGAAAGCTCCACAACCAAAACGCATCCAGCTCAGAGAACCAAACACCTACTTATTTTTTCTGGTTAGCGTTTTTTGGCAAGTGAGATTTTGACGGAATGGGGTCGCCAACCCCATGTCCAACCCTCCTCCTTTATCCGGGCTTGGGACCGGCAGTAGCCCCGAAGGTTCTACTGGCGGAGTTAGAACGAAACACCACCACAATTATATTCTATTGAATATGTATGTATTCAGTAATTAAGTAGTAATGTCTCAACTAAGTTTATTGATTTTCTTTTTTTAAAAATTTTATTTATTCAATGTTTTTTATTTTTCTACTATTTTTGTTATTTGTTTTATTTAATTTGCAATTAAATTTTATAGACAACAGCTGCACATGGTCTTGGCCAATTGATTCCTGTTATAGCAATTGTAAGTGAATTATGATGATGATGATGATGATGTCTTCTGTTGATACCTTTTTTCGCTTAATGTTTCTACTTTAGATTTATTTCTGTTATCATGAAACATATGACATACAACTCATTCACTAGTGATTTTAAAACAATTAGACTAGACAGGATATCGGTCAATCAGATGTGTCGAAGGACTTAGTACGTGGGTACATTAGTTCACGTTGACAAATCCCAACTAATGTTGAGAAATGAAATTGCTTGCCTACTTACTTACTTGCACCTGTTACCTCTAATGGAGCATAGGTCGCCGACCAGTATTCTCTAAACTACCCCGTCCTTCGCCTTCCTTTCCTGTTGTGGACTTAGCCATGTAGGTAATTGTCGACTACCTACCTGGTTGAGGTCCGCGAGATGATAATAATCGATGGTTAGAAGAGACCTTGAATGACATGGCTCAAAATCGTTCGCCTTGGCGCTGGTGCATTTATTCTTTGTGTTCTCTCAAATCCTAATCTTCTGGATTCTTCAACCCCACTAGTTTTGACTTTCTAAACTTTTCTCACTGAATCATACTTCTTGAATAATATCTTCTAATCCTAACCTCTTCGATTACTTGTGATACCTTTACTACCTCTACTTCTATTGGATTTGAATTGACAATTACATCTCTGTGCTGATGTGGTATGGCGATATGAACTGATGTACTTACGTACGAAGTTCAACGTTACATCTGACTGACTGACTGACTAACTCATCCCACCAAATACATGTAACAACACTTCAAGTGATACAATTCCATGTTGGACAGTGAACGAACCACATCGGTTCATTTTTTTCAATTCGATTAAAACTGATAAATTTCTGTTCTTGATTGTTCTTCTATTCAATTTTGAATATGCGAGTTTCTGTTTATAATTTTCTTCTCTCTACATATATTTAGTTATTAAGACGTTTACCACCAATAAAAAATCCAAATCAACGTTTACAAAAATTATTTCGTGAATTTTGGTTATCTGTCACTGTGATGGGTTTTGCTGATCCTAATTCAAGTAAGTTTATTTATTAAAATTGTTATTAGAGATAACTAATGTTTTACAATTAAAATTACAAGCTAATATTAACTGGATGATTGCTAAGAATCTTAAGAGTACTGGATGAATGTTTCGTCCCTAGTGTGACTGACGTCTCTCGACGGTGAGCGTTCCACTATACCGCATGTTGTGATCAAACTCAGAATCTTCGGTCTTTCACGCCAGCGTCTAACTTCTTGATCACTGGACCGATATTCGACGGTGCGAGTGTCCAACTTGAATCATACTGTGATCTTGTGCGACTCTTTGTCCTTTACCTCCAACAGTTAACTGTCTAACATGCGCTTTATTATGGAAGCGATCGCTGATCTTCATTTATCCACAGGTTGGAAAGTTTCCTCTTATTCAGTTTAAGGATTTTGTTACGCCTACACGTAAACACGTCATTTTGATATGCTTGAACTATTACGAGTTTACCTAGTCGGAAAATGAGAGCAAAGATCGAGGATCCGGAGACACTACATGCTACTCAAATCCGATCATCCCAACCCCCATATTGAGTGAAAATAAGAAGACAAGACTTGAATGTGAAGTAGAACCTGTATTCTACAAGCATCCAGAAAGCACGAGGTCCGAATCCAGATGAGAATCAGGATCCCGGACTAGGGATCCGGGACCGCCTCCTGGTTCTGGTCATAAAACGTTACAGATAATGCGTATTTATACATTTAGGTCAAATAGGAAACAGCATCGAACTCTTTGACATTGACAGTTAAGACGACCAATAGGAAGCAACATTTGAAGTGACATTGTTAGTCAGGACAACCAATCAGAAACAATATTGGTGCACGTGACATTGATATCTACTAGGATGACCATAAAATTGACCAGTAGGAATTAACGAATAGGAATAGACCAATAATTATTCTCTTAGGATATTGGATGAATATCCTAACAGATTTTGGTTCATCACATTTTCCTGTGGGTTAACAATTATTCTTAGTTGTCAAAAATCTTTTACAGCTCAAGTTATCATACTTCACCTTCGCAGGAACAGATAAAAATTAACAAGTCTAATGGAAAAGTAATCGAAATGACTTAATAGCAATTGTGATGACAAAGATCAAAGTACCGACAGTAGGGTTTAAAAAAAATCAAATGACAATCTATACATGAAGGAATAGTGGAACTAAAATACTTGATTAGAACCGAAAGTCAATGGATGTACACTGTTGCGAATGATTCTAATCCATGACACCCGATAATCCTAATCACAATTTACCATAGTTGCGTTGACTCTGGCCATTGCTTCGTTTTATAGTTTCTTGACTCTATGGACTGATTTTATTTATCGGCTCGTAGATTTCTTCCAATTTACTCTTACAACAAAATAAATATCACTTGTTGTCGGGCTATTTATTACAACTCATTCATTTTACTCTAAAACCACAGTTAATTAAGATTGTTTCCTAATAGAGTTATGGAAATCAGCGTTTTTACACTTTGAAACCATGAATGAATCATTGTTAGACCACCATTAGAAACCTGGAAACACTGACATACGAATATTTCGTTCTTGTATGGGAGTCATCAGTGGCAGTGCGCATCCACGAGTCATGCACCTTGCAGGATTCGAACCCGGGAACCGTTGAGCTGACATCCAACGGTGTCAATGTCAAACTCGGATCAATCTAGGGATTTGGCGCGACCTCGCCCTTTTTTCTTCGGTAGTTACTGTTTACCTACACCCTAACAGGGTTGAACTCCAGTGGGGTTCATGTCTTCTCATTAGAACTCCGAAAATTTCTTCACGAAGCTAATGACTATTGAGCAAAATTGTACGATTTTTCCCCATGTTCTAACAGTAGTTGATATGTGGTGCAAGCTAATTATAAGTAGTATGGGGGAAGATCAAGAAAGGAATAGTTAGAAGAAAACAATGGAATTTGTATGAAACACATGAATAGTGAGTGACAATGGATTGATGTTTTGCAACAGGAACAGTCCAATTCGAGATTATGGACTGATATTTTGCAAATTAACCGTTTACGATATGGTTTTCCTATTTTACTGAGTAACTCTGTAATTTTCGTTAAATACAATTCGGTTGCCCTCACCTATGTTCTCCTTCACTACAATACTACTATCTAGTTGCTGTAACCGCGAACTAGACGCATGTGGATTCGAACCTACTACTACTGCTACTACTACTACTACTACTACTACTACTACTACTACTACTACTACTACTACTACCGAATGTTTTCGATTCGACTTGAATATTTGTGTTTTTTTTACACCGCCCCACACACCTCTGTATCTTAGCTTAAATCTTTAAATATATCACTAAAATTATTTGATTTTTCTTGAGGGGTTTTTATTCAATATTACGCAATATGTGTGTTACTTTCTTGTTGTTATTGTTATTTGTCTAAAGCAATATGGCCAGTGGAATATTATCGTGGTCTTTGTGAAATTGCTATTAAATCACCAGTACTGTTGTTAAATGATTCATTACGTGCTGAATTACAACAAAGTTCTGCATTAAGTGCTCGAAATTTATCACAAGTAAGAATACCATTTTTTTATGTGTGTTTTTGAAATGATTGAATTTTTGGCTAAGAAAAAAACGCAACACTTCGATTTCATTTAATAAGTGGTACTGTGGTGCGCGGCACTTATAAGTAGTAGTATATGACGTGAGTGTAAACGTAATGTCTGGCAGCAGAAGAGAAGATAGGGGAAGATCAAGAAAGGAAGAGTGGGAATACAACGGAATTTGTATGAAACAAACGCATGAATAGTGAAATGTCAGACAATGGATTGATGATGGATTGAAGATTTGCAAATTAACAACGGTTTACGATATGGTTTTCCTATTTTACTGAGTAACTCTGTAATTTTCCTTAAATGCACAATTCGGTTGCCCTCACCTATGTTCTCCTTCACTATAGTACTTGTAAGTGTACACATGAAAATAAAATTATGTTTATCCGAAGCTCAGAGAGTGAATTTCTATTTAATAAATGACATGTTAGGAACACTAGTTAGTTTCTTTTTTGGGGCAGAGTTTTGGAGGTTTGCGTTTTCACACATTTGAAATCATCAATCAATCATTGTTAGACCACCCTCATTAGAAACCTGGAAGCACTCAAAGGCCGTTTTGTCCTGGCACATGGGACTACTCATCAGCAGTGCGCATCCACGACTCCTGCACCTCGCAGGATTCCAACCCGGGACCTTCGGTATTGTGCACGAACGCCTAACCATTGGACCACTGAGCCGGCATCCGACGGTGTGAATGTCTAACTCTGATTGACCTAGGGATTTTGCACGACCTCACCCATTTGTCTTTGGTAGTTTCTGTCTACACCCGACAAGGGTTGAACTCCATTGGTCACGTCTTCTCGACTAGAACTCCGAGAATTTCCTCACGAAGCTAGTCATTAGTGAGCACTGTTACGATATTTTGGGGCAGAGTTTTGGAGGTTTGCGTTTTTACACATTTGAAATCATCAATCTATAGTTAGTTTCTTTTTTGAAATCATAAATCGATCCCTATCGGACCATCATTAGAGAGAAAACTGGAAGCACTGGATGGCCGTTTCGTCTTAGTATGGAACTCATCGGCAATGAGGATACAAGATCCCTGCACCTGGGAATTGAACCAAGGACCTTCGGTCCCGAGCACGAACGCTTAACCTCTGGAACACTGAGTCAGTCCCTGTTACGCCTGCACGTAAACACATCAACTTGATATACTTGAATTACTTCGAGTTTACCTAGTCGGAAAACGAGAGCAAAGATCGAGGATCCGGCGACACGACATGCTACTCAAATCCGATTTTCCCGACCCCATATTGAGTAAAAATAAGAAGACTTGAATGTGAAGTAGAACGTGTATTCTACAAGCATCCAGAAAGTATGAGGTCCGAGTCCAGAAGAGAATGAGGATCCCGGACTACGGATCCGGGACCGAGCCCTGGTGCTGGTTGTGATCCTGAAAATGTTACAGATAATGCGTATTTATACATTTTGGTCGAATAGGAAACAGCATTGAAGTCTATGACATTTACAGTTAAGACGACCAATAGGAAGTAACATTTGATAGTCAGGACAACCAATAAGAAACAACATTGAAGTAGGTGACATTGATATCTATTACGACCATAAAATTGACCAGTAGGAATCGACCAATGGTTCTCTTAGGATATTGGATAAATATCCTAACACTCCTCATGTCTGTCTTCATTTCTCGGCGTAAAGTTTTCTCTGGTCTTTCTCTTTTCCTTTGACCCTGAAGGTTCCAGGTTGTGGTTTGCCTTTTGACGCAGTTGGGTGCTTTCCGCACTGTGCATCCTAACCATCTTTGGAGCTTTTTTCCTAATTTTTTCCTGCCATGCAATCTGGTCCATTCTCTCTCACAGTAGGTTGTTTGTTGCTGATGGTGTCTGGCCAACGGATCCGAAGTATTTTACGTAGACGACTGTTAATAAACACCTGTATCTTGTGGATGATGGCTTTTGTAGTTCTCTAAGCTTTCGCTCTATACAATAGAACTGTCTTGACATTAGTGTTGGTTGATATTTGTCTTGAATTAATGATATTCTTCAGTTGTAGTGAATTGTATTTGACGAAAATTACAGGGTTACTCAGTAAAATCGGAAAACCATATCGTAAATCGTTCATTTGCAAAATATCAGTTCATCATATCGAACTGGACTATTCCTGTTGCAAAACATCAATCCATTGTCACTATTCATGCATTTCATACAAATTCTATTGTGTTCTAACTCTTCCTTTCTTGATCTTCCCCCATCTTCTTCTGCCAGACATTACGTTGACACTCACGGCATATACTACTTATAAGTAGCTTGCACCACAGTAGGAATGCTATTCTTACTTTGCCGATCAGCGCCTTCACATATGTATCAAATTCACCACGCTCATCAAATATGCTGCCTAAATATTTAAATGTTTTTACATCTTTCAGTGCTTCTTCGTCAAATGTGATTTGGTTGGTGCTTGTAGTGTTTTGTATCGGAGAATCTTGCTTTCTGCCTTTGTGTACTTTGAGTCCTGCTGCTACACTAGTCGTCTTCTCTTGTATTTGTTGTTGTTGCTTGTGGAATAGATTAGCCAGATCATTTTCAAAGTTCAAATCGTTCAGCTGTATCCTAGCTGTCCCCGTGTATACCACCGTACTTCCCTTCAGTTGTTGATGTCCTCATAATCCAGTCGGTCAACTATGTTAAATTGATGTATTCTCCTTCTTGATCCAGGTCTTCGAGACAATAGACCTATTCTCAAATTTATTTTACTGGATCATACTTTCTGACTTTTTCAATTACAGTTAATACTGCTACAGCCTCTATCGCCATAGGATTACGAATTGACAATTCGATCTCTTTATGTGCTAATATGATTGTATGGCAACTTGATCTGATGTTTTTGCGTACGAACGAAATTCTACATTGTAGCTGACTGATTTATTGACTGGTTGACATTGATAATTGATATTAATACATGACAAGTAATCTCCTCTTTCAACATGTCTGTTATGCTTGAAACTATTACGAGTTCACTTTAGTCAGTAAACAAGAGTGAAGACAAATGATACAATGATACGATAGGCTATTCTGATTCGATTGTCCCAGGCCTCTGCTAACTATAATAAGAAGTCTTGATAAGGCGTAGAAAAGTGTATTTTACAATCGCCCACAAAATAATACACGGTTTTCCAAACACATAAATTGAGTTTACTTATGCATCATAGAAATGTCTTTCTAAGAGCCACATAAATAGAGTTCTAAAATAACACATCAACCAATAACAGTCAAGGATTTTCTTGGTGGGAAATACAATCTCAAGGTCAACTAATCATCCCATACACGAAAGCATAAAATGCAAACTAAGGACCTTTATATCAAGTGAGTTCTTGGGATGGGGGGTTGTGAAATGTTCCCAACCATGTCCCCTCTGTAATTCAGCAAAAACATGAAATAATCTTTGTTTTTTTCTCTCCATAGATTGATGTCACTGAACTACGCAATCGATTATGTGTTCTGTTGGATAATAATGCAGAAACCACTTCATTAATTAATCGAATGAGTGTTACACAATGTATTTATTTAATGGCTGTCTATAGATTAGAATCATTATGGTAAGTTGTTGGTGTTGTGGGTGTGGATGTTTCGTGTTGTTGTAATGGCTTGCTTAAATATATTTTCCGGCTAATTCCTATTGCTTAGTATTCTCTGACCGCACAATACACTACTGGACAAGTTCCCAAGAATCAAAACAGGCGGTCGAACAGGAAAAGATTATATTCCAAATAGAAAGGTTAAATGGAAATAAGAAGCCGAAGGTGATGGCGAAAGCCAAAAATAGATACAACGTTAGTTTATTTATAGCATTTACATGAAAAGCTACTGGATAGAAATTCACGTGATCGACTGGATTAGATTTAACCAATCAGCACGCAGCTAACAGTACGAGAATTTTCTATCCTGTTCTCCAAGATTCGATCAGGCGCTGATTGGATAGGAAATTAGCCAATCAGCGTGCAGCAACGTAGTTATGCTTTAATTCCATCTATGTCCCATTAACATGTGTGTTTCAGTTCGATACAATTGCATTACGTACGGAGTAAGTACAAAATGTATGTCCATTGCACAGGGGTTTTCTAATCCTAGGACTTTGAACAGACTAATTTATGCATTCTTCTCAAGTTCATCACCTTGGTGATTGTTGTTTGAGTGTGTGTGTGTATACCTGCTTACATTGCTTACTACATGTCTATCTAGGCTGATTATAATTTGCCTAATCATGTCTCATTCCACATCTGACTACACGAAGAGCAACAATGCAAGCATGTTCGGGATGCGGTTCTCACCCTCGAAATGTTAAATGTTGCTTCAAGATTGGATTGTATAAGCACCTGAACTAGTGATAGGGAGTGAAGTAGTTGAGCATGTTGACCGCTTCACTTATTTGGAGAGTTTCATCAGTGGTGATGGCCTGGTTTGTGACGAAATCTCAGCACGGATACAGAAATCTCGATTCGCTTTTGCCAACCTGTGTAACTTATGGCGAAGTCGAGATATCCGTTTGCTGACCAAAGGTAGTTCGCTCTGTTCCACTATATAGATGCGAAACATGGTCAGTCACAATAGAATATATTCGTAGGTTACTGGTTTTCGACCATATGTGTCTTAGAAGCATTGCTTGTGTATCTTGGGACAACCGATTAAGCAATGGTAAGGATGACAGATCAATAGATGAAGTAGTGAAACTTCATCGGTTGAGGTGGTTAGAACATGTCGTCCGATGAGCTATGTTTTGTTGTGTAAGGGTACGTTGAAATAAAGCTAGGGGCGGCCAAACAAAAACATGGCAGAAATCCATGAAATCACTGACAACTGGACTGAGTCATGTTGTAGGTTTAGACTACCTAAATGGTTGAAGTCCGCGAGGCAATAGTAATCGATGGTTAGAGACCCTGAATGACATGGCTGAAAACCGTTTACACTGGCTCAGATTCAGCCATTTTTCGGTTTTTTCTCAAATTCTACTCTTCTGAATTCGTCATCATCTAGGCTGATTATAATTTACCTAATCATTCCTTATCCACATGAAGTTAGCTCACCGGCCTTCTCCACTTCACTTAGCTCTGGTTGTACGGTCTACATTTTCATGTCTGTCTGTGTGAACTATTGCATGAAATATATTCATCCAACTGAATCTATATATTCGACTTCTTAGTAGTAGTATCACGGTCGTCGAACAAATTAGGTTCTCCTAAAAGCACATGACATATGAAAATTAAAATGAAAATTTATATTTCTTGGCGAATGCGAGTCAGATTGTGTGCTAGTCAAAAATACCATGGATTAAATTGTGACATTATATAATCATTTGCTGATCATTTTGTTTTAACTATGTAACTGCGAAATGTGTCAAACTGTTTTTCAATCATCCGATCATGTAATAGACGCATATTAACTTTGAATTCATCAGTTGGGCCATTCAAACTATAACTCCTAACTCTACCTACTTTGATTAGGACACGCTGCTTAACAAGATCGAACAAATTCACACTACTACCGTTTACAAATCGCTTCCCATCGAAATCTGATATCATTTTAAGCTATGTAGTTGTTTTGAATAGATAGGGTTTGCTAAACTTGTAGTTAACTCCTCTTTCAATCAGTCTTGAAACTTAAAATATCGTTGAAAAGGAATTTTTACCCTATAGTGGAGTTTCGTTCTGTTAACTGGATGTTTTGGTTTTTGTAGTTTTCATTGTGTTTCTTTTGAACTTAACATCATCGGCATAGACTACATGTAGTAGGGAAGTATTCGAAAAACTTCTAGTCTGCCTTGTTGACGTCATTCTTTATTGGTTGTTATTGACCTTATTTCCGTCATTGTTTGTTTTTTTGTGTTGGTGGTAACCCCCCCTCCTTTGATTCGGTTCTTGAACCAATGCTTGTTTACGATTTTTCTGATTGGTTGATAAATTGGATCAATGTGCGTGTGTTTGTTGATTACTGATTGATCGGAGTGTCGAAAAAATTTTGAAAATCTCTCTCTATTCCCTCTCTCCTGTATTTCCAAATTGTTCTAATCAAATGTATTGATGTATTTGGGGAGGGGGTGTGGGAGACGATAAGTTCTAGCATTATTCAGAAGAACAATGAACGCTAAACACAACCACTTCAGAGAATGAAACACTACTACCATATATACTATCATATATTTAATATGAATGAATGTTTGACATATAATTTGCAGTGTATGAGTAGACTGGAAGAAAGCTAAGGGCGGCCAAACCAAAACATGGCAGAAATCCATGAAGTCATTGACTAGTGGACTGAGCCATGTTGGTAGAGTAGGCTACCTGGTTGGTTTGAATAGAGAAATAAGAAGACATATTTTGTGAGATAGTACCATTTCGTGCTTTCTCGTCAGTCACATACAAGCAACATGTTATTTGTGTGTAAATACAGTTTTGGTGTCTGCGAGACGAAAGTCACCAATGGTTAGAGACCTTGAATGACATGGCTCAGAATCGTTTGCAATGGCACAGGTTCATCCATTCGTTGTGTTCACTCATCGTCTCTACCTTACTACTTCTAAATTTATCTTAATGAATTTGTTAGTGGGACATAGATGGATTTAAAGCATGATTACGTCACTACGCGCTGATTGGCTAATTTCCTATCCAATCAGCGCCTGATCGAAGCTTGGAGAACAGGATAGAAGATTCTCGTATTATTAGCTGCATGCTGATTGGTCAAATCCAGTCCAGTCGATCACGTGAATTTTCTTCCAGAAGTTTTCTCATGTAAAGGCTATAAATAGACTAGCATTGTATTTATCTTTGCCTTCTTAGCCTTCAGCCTTCTTCGTCTTCAAGCCTTCTTTGCCTTGGCTTTCGCCATCACCTCCAGCTTCTTTTCCTTGTTATTTTGGAATACAGTCCTTCCTGTTCAACCGTGTTTTGATTTGTGTTACTTGTCCAATGTTTTGTGTCAAGAATACTAAGCAATAAGATTTAGCCGGGAAATATCTAAGCAACCGTTACAACAGAATTATACTTTTCGAATTATATCTTCGCTCCCTAATCTTCTCCATTACTACTAATACTTCTACTATCACTATCAATCTTGGGTTTGAAGTTAGAGTTGCGTCTCCGAACTAATGTGGTGGTATGGCAACCTGAACTGATGTACACAGACTTACGAAGTTCTGCGTTGTTTCTGTCTGTCATATATATTTAACTAAATTGAAACTATACATTGGTAACATTTATTCACTTTGAATGAAATGATAAGATTTAATATTGAACAGTGTTTAAGGCATCATAACTACTGATTTACTGTTTGTAGACGTACTTATTTACTTACTCCTCTCCATACCGATAAAATGTACTCGTTGACTATTTTCTCCAATATAATTGTCGACTAGTTATGACGTAATAATCTACTATAACTCAACGTTCATGCCTGAAATATTGATCTGATACATGGGGCTATGAGGTCCTATACTAACTAGTAGTACAAAACAACTACTTTCGTATTCTCCTAACGATTTTCATCAAACTTTGATCATTTTGTGATATCAATGAAAATTAGAGGAAGTAAAGTGTTCATTTCAAACTTTGATCTTTTCATAGGTATATGGTCGTTTTTTTTCTCTCTCTACAGTACAATATATTCTACTATCTCTTCAAATTTGTAAACTTTGTTCAGAAACAATGAATCAATAACATTTGTAATCATTGATGAATCATTTAAGAGTGATTTGATCATAAATCAATCAATGATAGACCATCCTTACGAATCCGATAGTACTGGATGGTCGTTCCATCCTAGTATGGGATGTATTACTAGTGTTGCTTCAAGACTGGGTTACATCGGCACCTGAACTGGTGATTGGGAGTGAAGTAGTCGAACGTGTAGACCGCTTCACTTATCTTGGGAGTCTCATCAGTTCTGATGGCCTGATATGTGACGAAATCTCAGCACGGATACAGAAGGCTCGATTGGCTTTTGCCAACCTGCGTCACTTATGGCGTAGGCGAGATATCCGTTCGCTGACTAAAGGACGAGTGTACTGTGCAGTAGTTCGCTCCGTCTTACTTTATGGCTGTGAAACATGGCCAATGAGAGTAGAAGATATACGTAGGTTATTGGTTTTTGATCATACGTGTCTTCGAAGCATTGCTCGTATATTGTGGGACACCCGAGTAAGCAACGCTGTTATTAGGAATCGGGTGCTAGGTAAGGATGGCAGATCAATAGACGCAGTAGTGACACTTCATCAGTTGAGGTGGTTGGGACATGTGTTGTGTATGCCTAACCACCGACTGCCTCGACGAGCTATGTTTTGTAGTGTAGGAATAGGTTGGAAGAAAGTTAGGGGCGGCCAAACCAAAACATGGCAGCAATCCATGAAGTCATTGACGAGTGGACTGAGTCATGTCGGTAGTTGTCGATCACCTGGTTGGGGTCCGCGAAATGATAATAATCGATGATTAGATACCCTGAATGACATGGCTCAAAATCGTTCGCAATGGCGCCGGTGCATTTATTTTTTGTGTTCTCTCAAATCCTAATCTTCTGGGTTCTTCAACCCATATAGTTTTGACTTTCCAAACTTTTCTCGCCGAATCATATTTTTTGAATATTTTCTCATCCTAACCTCCCCGATTACTTCTAATACCTTTACTACCTCTTCTACTATTGGATTTGAATTGACAATGCCATCTGTCTGTGCTGATGTGGTATGGCAACATGAACTGATGTACTTATGTACAAAGTTCTACGTTGCATCTGACTGACTGACTGTATTACTAGTGTCTATCCAAAACTCATGCACACGGAAATCGAACGAAGGACATTCGGTCTCGTGCACTCAGGCTTAACTTCTAGACTAGTGAGCTAGCATCCAATGGTGTTAATTCAGGGTATTGTGCAATCTCATTCACTTTCTCCGGTCGGTAACTGCCTACAGTCGACAGGGTTGAACTCTACTAGTTAGGATTCAATGGTGTATTGAATAACTTGTGAGTGTTTGAAACTGTATTCGAAGAATTGTGTCTCAGTCCGAAAACCATCAGTCAGCTAGTTTACAAGTACATCCAGCTTATTTATATCAAACAGCATGAAACCCACGTCCTGTGTAGGTTGTTATTGATTTATTGGTACAAACAAGGCACAAATCATCAAATGTGTGTGTGGTGGGGGCTGGGATATTTCTTCGGATGCCTAAACTAATGCAGGTATTCATCTTGGAGGTAACTACCTGAGTCTATGACCTAATACGTCTAATCCTCAAGTCATTGATACAGTTCCATGATAGCTGACTGATGAGCAAAGCTAGATAGATTCATACGCCATCCATTTCATCAGAATCTTAGAGCCTATAAGCACCATTTGGTTAGCAATCTGTGTTTTACAAATTCCTTAGGTAGGTCCTCCCTACACACCAACCCTATTCTAAGCATCGGCTAGAAATTCGTTATTCATCTTCTCATTATTTTATACATTATTCCGCCAAAAGAAAGGTAGTGAGTAGTAGGGCTTCTCTGACAACGATCATATGTTATAATTCTCTCTTAGTAGAACCCAGCGAATTCCTATTGCTTAGTTAATATTCTCGGATACCAGTCCACTCGACAAGTCCCCAAATCAGAATACGGTTGAACAGGTAAGAGATTATATTCCAAATAGTAAGAAGTCGAAATGAAAGCGAAATAGTAACAACGTTAGTATTTTTATAGTTTTTACATGAGAAGCTTCTAGAATGTGTACTCTAAGTATCGACTAGCGCTGATTGGATAAGAATTAGCCAATCAGCGTGCAGCTCACCTAATCATGCTTTAATCCCGCTCTAGTCCCGCTAACACCATCAAATAACAGGTTGCAATTTTTTTTTTTTTGGGGGGGGGGTCACATTGAATGCCATTGATAGGCAAATAGTAGTACAAATTCAGTTGAAATTTGTACATTTTATATTCTAATATCTTTCTACTGTCATTTTTTTTCATTTTTATCATCATAGTATCGGACATTCAACGGATCCGGAAGCATTACATCGTTTATTTATGTATTTAGAAGATAATATCATAATTAAAGATAAATTTGGTAAGTTTTTTGGAAATTTTTTTTGGTCTGGTTGTTTATTGAAATTTTGTATGAGTTATGTTTTTTTTTTTAATATTTTTAAAAATAAAACAGTATTATTCATACTTTGGATTACTTACCTATCTACTTACACCCGTGACCCCTAATGGAGCATAAGTCACCGACCGCTATTCTCTGACCTCTGTCCTAGGCTTAGGCTCTTTCCAGTTTCTATTCATTCTTCTCATTCCTGCCTTCATTTCTTGGCGTAATACGTTTATTGGCCTTTGTCTTTTGCCTTGACCTGGAGGGTTCCAAATGAGCGCTTGTCTTGTGATCCATTTGGGTGATTTCCTCATTAGGTATCCTATCCACTTCCAGCGCTTCTTTCTGATATCCTCCTTCGCTGGAATGTGGTTTGTTCTCTCCCACAGTAGGTTTTTGCTGATGGTGTCTGGCCAATGAATCCGAAGTATTTTGCGTAGACAGCGGTTCATAAATACTTGTATCATCTGGATGATGGCTTTTATAGTTCTCCAAGTTTCCGTTCCATACAGTAGGAACTGTCTTGACATTTGTATTGAAAATTCTTATTTTGGTGTTGATTGATATTTGTTTGGAGTTCCAGATATTTTTCAGTTGTAGAAATGCAGCCCTTGCTTTGCCAATCCGCGACCTCACATTCACATCAGATCCACCTTGACTCTCGATGATGCTGCCCAGAAGATATGTAAAGATGTTAACGTCTTTCAAGTCCTCTCCACCAAGAGTGATTTGGTTGGTGCATGTTATGTCGTGTTGCAGAATCTTGCTTTTCTCTTCATGTATATTGAGACCTGTTGTTGCTAAGGCTAATATTGTTCATAACTCTGTAATAAAAATGATTGACATTAGTTCACGAAGATCAATGACTGTTAAGTTTGTGATGAGTAGATTTTCAACTATTTTCATCTAGATTTGGAGCGTTGGGGGGGGGAGGGTTAGAAAGTTTTTGATGATTTTGTAAAATTTTTTATAACCGCTACTACTACTGTGGTGCGAGCTACTTATAAGTAGTATATGACGTGAGTGTCTACGTAATGTCTGGCAGAAGAAGATGGGGGAAGATCAAGAAAGGAAGAGTTAGAAAACAATGGAATTTGGTATGAAACGCATGAATAGTTAAATGTCAGACAATGTATTGATGATTGATTGAAGATTTGCAAATTAACAACGGTTTACGATATGGTTTTCCTATTTTACTGAGTAACTCTATAATTTTCGTTAAATATACAATTCGGTTGCCCTCACCTGTGTTCTCCTTCACTACACTACCACTACTGTTACCTACTTCTACTATACTTTGTGACAATTCGCTATGACGATTCCATTTCGCTGTACTTATCGCTTGTGGTATATATGTTTGTTCCAGATTTCGACATAGTGTAGTCTAATTGACTTATTCCTAAGGGATTGTTTTTTTGTGTGTGAAAATCTTTCCACTGTAAATATTCTGTCGTTTATTTCAAAATGTATGTCTTTCCTTGTTTGTTTGTATTTTAGGCATGTGGACGTGTATTTCACAAGTGTCTGTACGTATATTTACACGTTATCTTACACAAATGAAAACTAAGGTAATGTAAATAAATATATATTTCTGTTTTGTTTGTTAATATTTGTTGTCATTTGACCAATGTCAATCGCTTGTTTTTAGCCTATTGTCAATGTTGTCTGATGTAAGGGTAGAACTGGAAGAAGAAAGCTAAGAGTGTGGCCAGAGACAATTGTAACCAATGGTTGGTGTAGGAAGGATTTGATTTCGACCAATTCGGTCTCTCGCGCTGTTACGGGTGGTATGAAGGCGGTTATCACTTCCCGGCTGCCCACACCGTAGAAGGTTGTTTCTTGAGGGACCTGAAAAGGAAGATAGATTAGTGTTGGTCTTAACGACCTGGGGGCGTGACCTCAGAGCCCAATGGACAACTGCTTCAGGACGGGCACGCACGGCCTTTTTATGAAGGGTTTTTCGAGTATTAGCTCCGCTTTTAAAGGTCCTTAGTGGACACCCTTACCACCGGGGATGGGAATCCGTGAGGTAGGGTGGTGTGACATTTTTAGGGTCGACCTTTTCTAACCCTTCCTTCTGTCGTGAGGAGGCAGCATCGCTGCAGATGCTGGTTGTCCGAGGGAAACACCCTACTGCTGTCACACCCCTCTGCAGTCAGCATTACGACTTCGCTCTCAGACATTGAGTAGCTGCTTTTAGTCTCATCGTTCTCTAATCGACCTGCCTGGCATGGTAGAACCTTCAGGAACATATGTTGCAGCCAGTATAGCTCAGTTGGGTGATGACGATAGGCGAGCCCGACCACCACGTCAAGGTAGCAGCTACTTCCTGAATAATATCTTCTAATTCTAACCTCTCCGATTACTTCTAATACCTTTACTAACTCTTCTACAATTGGATTTGAATTGACAATTACATCTCTGTGCTGATGTGGTATGGCGACATGAACTGATGTACTTACGTACGAAGTTCTACGTTGTATCTGACTGACTGACTTACTGTAACCAATGGTTACAGACTTTGAATGACATGCCTGAAAACCGTTTACAATGGTGCAGGTGCATTCATTCTTTGTGTTCTCTCAAATTCTACCCTTCCGAATTCATCATCACCTTTTTTCTCTTTTTAAATTAATTTTACTGGGTTACACTTCTGTAACCGTATATTCGACTTTTAATCTTTTCGATTACCGCTAATACGTATGCCTAACCACCGACTGCCTCGACGAGCTATGTTTTGTGGTGTAGGAATAGGTTGGAAGAAAGTTAGGGGCGGCCAGACCAAAACATGGCAGCAATTCATAAAGTCATTGTCAAGTGGACCGAGTCATGTTGGTAGATGTAGGCTACCTAGTTGGGGTCCGTGAGACGCTAGTAACCGATGGTTAGTGTTACACCTGCACATAAACACGTCAACTTGATATACTTGAACTATTACGTGTTTACCATGGTCAGAAAACGAGAGCGAGGATCGAGGATCCGGCGACACGACATGCTACTCAAATCCGATTATCCCAATCCCCCATATTGAGTAAAAATAAGAAGACTTGATATGAAGTAGAACTTGTATTCTACAAGCATCCAGAAATTACGAGGTCCGAGTTCAGAAGAGAATGAGGATCCTGGACTAGGGATCCGGGACCGAGCCCTGGTCCTGGTCGTTGTCATAAAATGTTACAGGTGATGTGTATTTATACATTTTGGTTGAATAGGAAACAGTATCGAATTATGTGGCATTGACAGTTAAGATGACCAATAAGAAGTAACATTTAAAATGACATTGACAGTCCGGATGAGCAATAAGAGACAACATTGAAGTATTTGACTTTGACAGTTAAAACGACCATAATTTTGACCAATAGAAATCGACCAATAGGATATGACCAATAATTCTCTCAGGATATTGGATGAATATCCTTGAATGACATGGCTCAAAATCGTTTGCAATGGTGCAGGTGCATCCATTTTTTGAGATCTGTCAAATCCTAATCTTCTGGATTCGTCAGCACCTCTACCTTTGTCTTGCTAAACTTATCTCACTGAACTATACTTCTTGAATAATATATTCCAACCCTAGTCTTCTTCATTACCATTAATACCTCTACTATCTTTATCACTGTGGGATTTGATTTGACATTTGCGTCTCTGTGCTAATGTGTTGGTATGGCAACATGAACTGATGTACATAGACATGCGAAGTTCTAAGTTGCAACTGACTAACTGACTGACTGAATACTACAACAATTACTAATACTGTGGGATTGAATTTAACTGTTCCATATGTTTGTGCTAACGGGGTATGGCGTCTACCTGAACTTATGTACGTACCAAGTTCTACGTTGCAGGTGACCGATTTTACTTAAATGAAGTGTTCATCACATTCAAATTACTCTGTACTTTATGTTTAAAAATCAGTAGACATTAATTTAACAATTTAACAATCGATCGATCTGAAGTACTTTTTTTTACGGCTCAGTTATAATAATAATTAACTTAGTTATCAATCAATCACTCGATCAATCAATCATTGTTCTAAGCCAAAATCATAAGTAGCATGAGTTGTGTTGTGTAACGTTGTGATTTGTCTAAATTAAAATTGAATATTCTAGACTGTGATGATCACGTGTCTTTTGTTTTATTTCATTGAGATATTTAAAACTGTTTAAATTAGATAAATAGGATGGGTGATAAATTTTGAATTTATTATTGTTGGTCAATTAGAAAATAGAATAAGTAGAACACTTGTAAAATGAGTCTATCGCACTATTGACCGTAGCTGCTATCTTGATGTGTTATGGTTGAACTTGACTATCGTGATAGTCCAACCGAGCTATATTGTTTGGAACATATGTACCTGTGGGTCCTACCATGCCAGGCAGCAACTGAAGGTTTGAGGGCGAAGTCGTACTGCTGACTGTGGTGGCGTGTGACAGCAGTAACATGTTTCCCTTGGAGAACCAGCATCTGTAGTGATGCTGCCTTCCGACAAGGAAGGAAGTGTTTTGGAAAAACTCGACCCTAAGAATGACACATCTCACCTTATCTCACGGATTTCCATTTCTGGCGTAGGGTTATTGAACTTCTAGGTAAGAATGGCAGATCAATAGACGCAGTAGTGACACTTCATCAGTTGAGGTGGTTGGGACATGTCTTGCGTATGCCTAACCACCGACTGCCTCGTCGAGCTTTGTTTTGTAGTGTAGGAGTGGTAGGTTGGAAGAAAGGGGCGGCCAAACATGGCAGAAATCCATGAAGTCATTGACGAGTGGACTTAGCCATGTCGGTAGGTGTCGACTACCTGGTTGGGGTCCGCGAGTTGATAATAATCGATGGTTAGAGACCTTGAATGACATGGCTCAAAATCGTTCGCAATGGCGTCGGTGCATTTATTCTTTGTGTTCTCTCAAATTCTAATCTTCTGGATTCTTCAACACTTCTAGTTTTGACTTTCTAAACTTTTCTCATTGAATCATACTTCTTGAATAATATCTTCTAATCGCAACTTCAGGACGGGCACGCATGGCCTTTTTATGAAGGGTTTTTCGAGTATTAGCTCCGCTTTTAAAGGTCCTTAGTGGACACCCTTACCACCGGGGATGGGAATCCGTGAGGTAGGGTGGTGTGACATTTTTAGGGTCGACCTTTTCTAACCCTTCCTTCTGTCGTGAGGAGGCAGCATCGCTGCAGATGCTGGTTGTCCGAGGGAAACACCCTACTGCTGTCACACCCCTCTGCAGTCAGCATTACGACTTCGCTCTCAGACATTGAGTAGCTGCTTTTAGTCTCATCGTTCTCTAATCGACCTGCCTGGCATGGTAGAACCTTCAGGAACATATGTTGCAGCCAGTATAGCTCAGTTGGGTGATGACGATAGGCGAGCCCGACCACCACGTCAAGGTAGCAGCTACTTCCTGAATAATATCTTCTAATTCTAACCTCTCCGATTACTTCTAATACCTTTACTACCTCTTCTACTATTGGATTTGAATTGATAATTACATCTCTGTGTGCTGATGTGGTATGGCGACATGAACTGATGTACTTACGTACGAGGTTCTACATTGCATCTGACTGACTGACTGACGGTAGGGGCTTTCGAAGAGCAGTGCTAACACCTGAAGCAATTGTTTGTTGAGCTCTATAGTCACTGCCAGGTCGTTCAGACTAACGCTAATCGAATTTCCTTGTCAGGTTCTTTAAGAAATACCCTTCCACAGTTGTGTTGTGTAATGTCGCGATTTGTCTGAATTCAATCCTAAGTTCATCAAAATTGAATATTGGAGACTATGATGATCACATGTTTTGCTGGTTTTATTATTCTGTTCTCTTTAAATATTCATTTGATTAATAAATATAACTGTTTAAATTAGATAGATTGAGTGATAAATTTTGAATTTATTATTGTTAGTCAATTAGAAAATAGAGTAGGAGTCTATCGCACTTTCGACCGTAGCTGCTACGTTGAATTGGCGATCAGGCTTGCTTATCGTGATGGCCCAACCGTGTTATATTGTCTGGAACATATGTACCTGTAATTTATATCATGCCAGGCATGTCGACTGGACTAAAATCAGCAACGCAAGGTCTGAGGGTGAAGCTGTACTGTGGGCTCTAGAGGAGTGTGACAGCAGTAAGATGTTTCCCTCAGCTGCCTTTTGACAAGGAATGAAGTGTTTTAGAAAACGTTGACCCTTAAATGTCAGACAGCCTACCTCACGGATTTTTATCTCTTTTAAACAAGAGCAGAGCTAACACTTCGAAATCGTTCAATACGAAGCCGTTTGTGACCGGTATAAAGCAGTTGTTCTTTGGGATCTACGGCCACGCTCACAGGTCTCTAAGGCCACCGATAATCTAACTTGCGTTTCAAATTCCTCAAAAATACAGCTTTCCACAGTGTGATCAGCCAGGAAGTGACTTTTATTTCATATAAAAAAATAACTTGGTATATTCTGTTACGCCTGCACGTAACCACGTCAACTTGATATACTTGAACTAGTACGAGTTCACTTTAGTCGGAAAACGAGAGCGAGGATCGAGGATCCGGTGACATAACATGCTACTCAAATCCGATTATCCCAACCCCCATATTGTGTAAAAATAAGATTTGAATGTGAAGTAGAAACTGTATTCTACAAGCATTCAGAAAGTACGAGGTCTGAGTCTAGAAGAGAATGAGGATCCTGGACTAGGGATCCGGGACCGGTTCCTGGTCCTGGTCGTGGTCATACAACGTTACAGATAATGCGTATATATACATTTCGGTCGAATAGGAAACAACATTTAGAGTATGTGACATCGACAGTTAAGACGACCAATAGGATGCAAGATTTGGAGTGACATTAAAATTCAGGACAACCAATAAGAAACAACATTGAAGTAGGTGACATTGATATCTACTAGGATGACCATCAAATTGACCAATAGGAATTAACCAATAGGAATTGACCAATAATTATCCTCTTAGGATATTGGATTAATTGCCCTAACATATATTCCTTTCCCTTGTTGTGTTTCTTTTTTCCCTCAATTATCATTAGCCCCTAGATACTGTACGTGAATCAATTATGGATATGCATGCACAATTCCTGCTGGTCATATTTACACGGATACATAAAAGTCTACGTATTGTCGCTGATGAATTTCTTAGTATGTTAGCTAAAGAGTAAGTCAGCAGTGATTACAAAATGCTTATTGATTAAGACCCTCCTACTACGTCCTATTTGATACTTGTCCGCTGAATGTAACCTGCACACTAGAAGTGATATTCTCTTCGGGACTCGAACGCACTGTTGTTTATATCCTATTGAAAGTTATCGATTGGTCGATTGGTATCGGGCAGTTTGTGTTGTTCTGAAAAGCTACATGATATGCGAGTGTATTCAGTTGACAAGACATACACCTCTTAGAGTTCATTATTGACCTTATCATTTTATGAAAGTTATATAATACATTACGAGGTTGTGAAGATTGTTACATTTGAAATCATGAATCGATCAATGTTAGACTATCATTAGAAACCTGGAAGCACTGGATGGCCGTTTCGTCTTGGTACGAGACTCATCAGCAGTGCGCATCCACGACTCATTTACCTCTCAGCAATTGAATGGTAAGTTCGTCACTAGGTACGCTTGAAGCTATTACGAGTTCACCTTAGTCGATAAACGCGAACGTGACAATTACCAGCGTCCAGGTAGGTTACCTTGAATCCCAAACTTCAAAACAGAAGTCTTGATAAGCGTAGAAAGTATATTCTACAAGCACCCAGCAATCACAATTCAATCCACCACACAAATCTCGTTTATTTATAGATCATAGAAACGTCCTTGGGACAGTCACAAAAATGGCACACTAAAATACACAGCAGCCAATTACAGCCATGGATTTTCCTGGTGGGAAATGTAATCTCAAGGTCAACTGATGATCAGCCCATGCTCGCAAACGTGAAATCCAAAATAAGGCATTTATCAAGCAAGTTCTGGAGATCTAACATCCCTCAACATTGAACCCAAGATCTTCGGTCTTGTGTGCGTGGACACTTAACCTTTGAACTACTGAACCGATCATCTGACGGTGCTAATGTCTAACTTCGATCAATTCATGGAGTTGCGCAACCTCATACACTGTCCTCTGTGTTCGATTCCTGTGAGGGGCAAAAGTCGTGGATGCACACTGCTGATGAGTTCAATACCAGGACGGGATGGCCGTCTAGTGCTTCCAGGTTTCTAATGGTGGTCTAACATTGATCGATTCATGATTTCAAAAGGTATATACTATATAAACATCATCGAGTCGGCCTAGATTTCAGTTAGTATATTGTTATCATTGATCAGATTATGGAAAACACTACATCGGCGAAGGTGGACATCGTCTTGAGCCACGACATTTCTTCACTTATATCAATACAATTATAGACATACGTTCTATTGAAACAATGTTAAAATACTAAATAGGGGGAGCATAAATAACACTAGAGAAGTTTCATCTCCTAGTTCTGTTCTACTGTATTGTAGATTAGAGTAGCATTAGATCACAAAGGCTTGTAGAATGACCGTCAAGATAATCAGTCACCTATTTCGGTTGCGGCGTTTGGGCAGTATCTGAGTTCATAAACTAATCCGATGACTTATATGGCACATATGTATTTGGGTGTTTTCAATTAATAATAATACTTTTAGTATTTAGAGAATTGATTCTTAGTGGTGGTGTTTCGTTCTCTGAGCTGGTTGTTTCGGTTGTGGAGCTTTCATTGTTCTTCCACTGAACTACAACATCATCAGCCACACAAACTTCAGATAGCAGAAGTGAAGCATTCGAGTTTCTCCACGTGCACGACCTGTAGCTTGTTCTGCTAACCTTGATCTTGATTGGTTGCTGTTGACCTAAAACCTGTCGTTGTTTGCAACTTTGTTTTGATCTGTTTCTTGATCCTATGATTTTTTTGATTGGTTGATAAATTGAGTCAATGTCGATGTGGCCTGAGTGCCAAGCTTCTAAAAATTCTCTAGTGTTCTTTGTCCTCCCCCTACCCAGTATTTCCACATTGGTCCAACGACAGGTCAAAGGTCAACAGCAATCAATCAAGATCGGGGTTAGCAGGTCAAACGTGGAGAAATTCGAATGATTCACTTCTGCTATCTGATGTTTGTGCTGATGATGTTGTTCAGTAGAAGAACAATGAAAGCTCCAAAACCAAAACAACCAACTCAGAGAACGAAACACCACCAGAATCATCCACCTGATTTACAAGTTTCCTCCACCATCTTAGAAATGATTCTCTCTACTAACTGCCATCAGCCATCTGACACTAAGATGGTGTTGTCTCATTTGCAGCTTCTTTTTTCAGAAAAAAATGTTAATAAGTCCTGTATTACAATTGTACTGGTGATTGATGCAGTAATTACAGACACTAGGTAGAAAGAGATATTCCTTACTTTTGATTCCCGGTGGAGTATAGGCCACAGATCAGCATTCTCCAACCTACTCTGTCCTGAAATTTCCATTCTAGTTCTGTCCAATTATTGTTCATGCCTTTCAAGTCTATCTTCTTTTCTCGGTACTATGTGTTTTTTGGTCTTCCTTTGGCTTTGAGGGTTCAAAGTGAGGGCTTGTCTCGTGACGCAATTGGTCAGTTTCCTCAATGTGTTTCCCTATTTCTTCCTCAACTGAAATCTTGTTTGTTCTATCTCACATTAAGTAGGTTGTTGCTGATGATGTCTGACCAACGCATCCGACGTATTTTGCGTAGACAACTGTCAATAAACAGTTGTATCATCTGACTGATGACTTTCGTAGTTCTCCAAGTTTCCGCTCCATACAGTGTTGATTGATGGTTATGTTTTGCTCCCAGATGTTATTCAATTGTAAAATTGCTTTACCAATCCGCGCCTTCACATCTGCTTCAGATACACCCCTTCTCATCAATCATGCTGCCTAGTTATGTAGAAGTTTTCACAACTTCCATCGTCTCTCCATCAAGTATGATTTGGTTGGCGCATGTTGAGATCTGAAGCTGCTTTTACACTAGTCATCTCTTGTATTAGTTATTACTTGTAGGATAGAACAATCCGGACATCTGTGAAGTCAATCCTATAGATTGTCAGATTGTTTGTCGTATTCGATCAATACAATATTAAAGATTTTGCACAATACGTGACTTCGATTTATTATCGTGAAAAACACTACATAGGGCAAAGTGGACGACCTCTTCAGCTCCGTTTACATGAATATCAATTAGCAGTCAAACGTCACCACAAACGCTTCGCTTATATCAATACACACCGACAATTATGGACACACACATTTGATTGGAACAATGTGGAAATACTGGATAGGGGGGGAGGACAAAGAACACTAGAGAATTTTTAGAAGCTTGGCCCACTCAGATCAAACAGCAGTCAACAAACACATCAACATTGACCCAGTTTACCAACCAATCAGATACATCATAGGTGATATAAGATCAAGAAACGGATTCAAAGGAGGATACAATCAAAACAAATGTGCAAACAACCACAGGTTTAAGGTTAACAGCAACCAATCAAGATCGAGGTTAGCAGAACAAGCTACAGATCAAACGTGGAGAAATTCGAATGCTTCACTTCTATCTGTAGTTTGTGCTGCTAACGATGTTGTAGTTCAGTAGAAGAACAATGATGAATGCTCCACAACCACCAAAACAACCAGCCAGCTCAGAGAACGAAACACCATCACCACAATGATAACCGTCAATCATAATAATAATCACATTCACATTATATCTATGTTCAATGTTTATCTAAACTATTTTTCAATTGTTCAATATTGTTCATTATTTTTTATTTTAATTTTTTTTTAGTTTTCCTCATGTTATGTGGAGTGGACGTGTTCTATTCACCATGTTAGATGTGGCACAGCTATTGTCACAATCATTAGAAGTGGTAAGAGTTCGGTTGAATTTAATTTAATTTAATTTTTTTTCTAGCGTGTTTGTGTGTGTGTGTACGTGTACGTGTGCTTGTGCTTGTTTGTTCTTGTTTGTACACAAGAATGAATGTATGTGTGTATCCTTTCCTCCTGACTGATTTTTGACTGAAGTAATTCACTAAACAATACAAATGTGTAAAAAATCGCAAACCTCCAAAACTCTGCCCCAAAATATCGTAACAGTGCTCACTAGTGACTAGCTTCTTCGTGAGGAAATTCTCGGAGTTCTAGTTGAGAGTGGAGTGACCAATGGGGATCAGCAACCCTGTCGGGTGTAGGCAGTAACTACTACCAAAGACAAGTGGGTGAGGTCGCGAAAAATCCGTAGATCAATCAGAGTTAGACATTAACACCATTGGATGCTGGCCCAGTGGTACGATGGTTAGGCGTTCGCGCACAATCTCGAAGGTCCCTGGTTGGAATCGTGTGAGATGCAGGAGTCGTGGATACACACTGCCGCTGATGAGTCCCATGGGAGGACGAAACGGACTTTGTGTGCTTCCAGGTTTCTAATGAGGGTGGTTTAACAATGATTGATTGATGATTTCAAATATGATATTCGCAGATTTTTTTCAAATGTCTGTTTTTCCCGCCTTTTTTTCATTGTTCATTTATGTGTTGTTGTTGTTTAAATATTTTCTCCATCTTTTTTTCCCTTTTTTAGGATCCTAATCTCTCGGCACCAGTTTATCATGTGCCAGAAACTAGTTTCCGTTTATTTATATCTGATAGTTTATTAGCACGTGAAAAAATGTTAACTGATTTTGTGAAACGTTGTAAAGGCATCATTGAAGTTGGTTTACAATGGGCGCCGAATTTAGTTCGTTCACATTTAATTAATTATATGCTGGAAATACAACATCCAGCAAGTGATTTACCTCAACATACTGGATTAGCATTAGCTACGGAGTCAGTGCTGAATTATGCTGGTTATAATCGATCGGCATCATTTTTAGGCGTAAGTGTAATCAAAATGCATTTCGATTAAATTTTGATGCATTGATTAAACTGTTTTGTTTTTTGAAAAAAGAAGGTTTGTTAGCGTGCCCCTATAAGTTGGAAGAAAGTTAGTGTTATGTTCGTCACTAAGTATGCTTGAGGAGGCTATTACGACGAGTTTACCTTAGTCGATAAACGCAAGCGAGACAATTAACCAGCTTCCAGATAGAGGCTACCTTGAAACCCAAACAGTAGAAAGAAGGCTTTGTAAGCGTAGAAAGTATATTCTACAAACATCCAGCAAGCACCATGCAATTAGGCACACAAATCTCGTTTATTTATACATCATAGAAACGTCCTTGGGACAGTTACGAAAATAGCACACTAAAATACACAGCAGCTAATCACAGCCATGGATTTTCCTGGTGGGAAATGAAATCTCAGTCAAGGTCAACTGATCAGCCCATGCTGACAAACGTGACAACCAAAATGAGGTATTTATCAAGCGAGTTTTGGGGATCTAACATCCCCAACAGTTAGGGTAGGCCAAACCGAAACATGAAGCCACTGACAGCTGGATTGAATCATGTTGGCAGGCGTCGACTAACTGGTTGGGGTCCGCGAGATGATATTAATCGATGGTTAGAGACCTTGAATGACATGGCCCAAAATTGTTTGCAATGATGCAGGTGTATTCATTCTTTGGTTTCTCTCAAATTCTAACCTTCTGAATTCCTCATCACCTTTAACTTCCTCTTTTTAAGTTTATTTCACGAGATTCTACTTCTTGAATAATATCGTCGGACCCTAATCTCTCCGATCACTGCTAAGACTCTTACTGTCGCTACTTCAATGGGATTTGAATTGACAGTTGCGTCTCTGTGCTAATGTAGTATGTCAACCTGAACTGGTGTACTTGTGTACGAAGTTCTACGTTGTAACTGACTAACTGGGCGTGCCTATTTTGAATAGGATGACGACGTTGTTCTTTTTTACCTACTTACTTTTGGTTCCGAAACCCGCCGACCCCCCAGATAATCTTGGAGAGTTGCGCATATTGGAGGGTTGACAACTCTAACCCTGAACCCCTATCCGATAGAAAACAACTTTGTTAGGAAAAAAAGCCGACCAAAAGTTAACTTATATAAATAAACTTAAAACTTTTTACTTATAAATAATACTGATTTAAAAATGTCGTAATGTGATCAAAACTTGACAGCGACTGAATCTATGCAAGATTATAAGAAGCTGACAAAATGAATCGCCTTCTGATTATTTTGGCTAACAATGCAAGCATTTTCAGGATGCGATTTTCTCTCCCCCCCATCGAAATGGAAAATATTGCTTCAGGATTGACTGACATCATCGGCACATGAACTAGTGATATGGAGTGAAGTAGTTGAAAGTTTTGATCGCTTCACTTATCTTGATAGCCTGGTTGGTGGTATATGACAAAATCTCAGTACGGATACAGAAATCTGAACTATCATCTTTTGCCAACTCACATCATTTACGGCGTAGGCGAGATATTCGTCTACTAACGATGTGAAACATGACCACTAAGAAGATTAAGGGATATTCTCAGGTCACTAGTAATCGATCATCAGTGTCTCCTTGCTCATCTTATCCTCAAACTACCGAGTAAACAATACTGTTTTTAGGAAACGAGTACTAGGTGAGGATGTCAAATCAATAAATGAAGTATTGAATCCTTATCAGTTGAAGTGGTGTGATATCCGTCTACTGAACAAAGGACGGGCTCACCACTCAACAGTTCGCTCCGCCCTACTTTACGAATGTGAATCATGACCACTAAGAAGAGTAAGGGATATTCTTAGGTTACTAGTATCCTGGAACCATCGAGTAAGCAATCCGGTTGTTAGAAAACGAGTACTAGGTGACGATGTCAAATCAATAAATGAACTATTGAATCTTCATCAGTTGAGGTAGTTGGGACATATATATATATATATGCCGTATAGCCAACCACGTCGACAAAGCAATGTTGTTGTCTGATGTCACGGTATAGTGGGCTAGAAGAAATCTAGAGGCATGTCGCTTCAAAACTGGGTTGCATTGGCACCTGAACTAGTAATAGGGAGTGGAGTAGTCGAGCGTGTAGACCGCTTCACTTATCTTGGGAGTCTCATCAGTGCTGATGGCCTGGTGACTGACGAAATCTCAGCACGGATACAGAAAGCTCGATTAACTTTTGCCAACCTGCGTCACTTATGGCGTAGGCGAGATATCCGTTCGCTGACCAAAGGACGAGTGTACTGCGCAGCAGTTCGCTCCGTTCTCTTATATGGCTGTGAAACATGGTCGTTAAGAGTAGAAGATGTTCGTATGTTACTAGTATTCGATCATAGATGTTTAAGAAGCATTGCTCGTATACCGTGGGACAACCGAGTAAGTAATGCTGTCGTTAGGAAACGAGTACTAGGTAAGAATGGCAGATCAATAGATGAAGTAGTGAAACTTCATCAGTTGAGGTGGTTGGGACATGTGCTGCGTATGGCTAACCACCGACTGCCTCGACGAGCTTTGTTTTGTAGTGTAGGAGTAGGTTGGAAGAAAGTCAGGGGCGGCCAGACCAAAACATGGCACAAATCCATGAAGTCATTGACAAGTGAACTGAGTCATGTTGATAGATGTAGACTACCTTGTTAGGGTCCACGAGATGATAATAACCGATGTTTAGAGACCCTGAATGACATGGCTGAGAATCGTTTGCAATGGCGCAAGTGCATCCATTTGTTGATCTCTCTCTCAAATCCTAATCTTCTGGATTCGTCAGCACCGCTACCTTTGTCTTTCTAACCTTGTTGCACTGAATTATACTTCTTGAATAATATCTTCAAACCCTAATCTTCTTCATTACTATTAATAACCCTACTATCTTTATCACAATGGGATTTGAATTGACAATTACATCTGTCTGTGCTGATGTGGTGATGTGGTAACATGAACTGATGTACTTAGGTACGAAGTTCTACGTTGCAACTGACTGACTGACTGACTGACTGATGAATAGTTCGTCCCAATATGATGTAAATCAGTTCGTCAACCATTAAAAACATCTTACTATTATACTTGTGTTTTCTAAATTTCTTATCAATGAAGTATTATGTATTTTATTTTATATTTTTCTTCTGTGTAATTTTTTCAGACAAATGCATTAGACAAACGACCAACTTGTGCAAAATTGGATTCATCTAATTTTATGTATAATTTAATATTACGCAATCGTTATTTGGGTGAAGTAAGTAAGCAAGCGAAAAAGAAGACCTGTGTTGTTGTTGTTGTGTTGTGTTTTACTCTCTGTCTCTCTCTCTCTCTGTGTTGAAAAGAATTTTTGAACATATTATTATGTAAATGTTATGTGATGTGATGTTGATGTGTGTGTGTGTTTGTGTGTTTGTGTGACCTTTTTGTTTGTTTTGTCTTGTCTTGTCTTGTCAGTAGTAGTAACAGTGAATGCAAATTGTTACCTTGATAATGAATGAGCAGTGGCGTGTAACGTCTACGTGTGTGTGTGTAGTGTGCATTACTTACTACCTACCTGCCTACCTACCTACCTACACTGGGTGTTAGATAACAATAGAAAACTATTGATTCTTTGTGTAAACTTGTCTATTGACCGGAGCTAGTTAGTTAGTTAGTTAGTTGGTCGATTGAATCAATGCAGAACAAGCGATTCGGTACGTGTGTTGATCTGTAGATGACAAAGTTGATGGAAGGTAGAACTTTGTACGTCTATGTACATCAGTTCGTGTTGCCATATCACCACATCAGCCCAGAGATGTCACTGTCAATTCAAATCCAATAGTAGAAGAGGTAGTAAAGGTATTAGAAGTAATCAGAGAGGTTACGATTAGAAGATATTATTCAAGAAGTATGATTCAGTGAGAAAAGTTTAGAAAGTCAAAACTAGCGGGGTTGAAGAATCCAGAAGATTAGGATTTGAGAGAGCACACAAAGAACAAATGCACCGGCGCCATTGCAAACGATTTTGAGCCATGTCATTCCAGGTCTCTAACCATCGAGAGAGAAAATAAGATCTGAATTGTTGCGTGTTATTAGGCGACTATTAGAAATCTGGAAGTACTGATCGGTCGTTTCATCCTAGTATTGGAACTACTCATCAGTAGTCAACATCCATGACTTCTGTTTGTGAGAATAGAACTTTTGGTCTCACTGGTGAACGCCTAACCTCTCTCTCTAGACTACCAAACCGACATTCAATGGTGTTAATGTCTATCGTCAATCGATCAATCCACGTTCTTGTGCGACCTCACATAAGTTTCTCTAATGGGTGTTCTAACACACGGATCAATTCATGATTTCGATGAAACTTCTTACTCGCCACAAATCCTATAATGATGATCTGATTTTACGACGTAAGATTTAACGAAAACATGAAGAGTCTATGCGCCCTTGTCATTGTAATTTGCTGTTCTGAACCATTTTACTCAATAATCTCCAATTATTCATCTCGATAACCATACAAACTAGAACTACCATTGTGTACATCTTCTCCTCCAACATGGTTTTAGTTTAACAATCTATGACTGCATAGACTAATACTACCTTTTTGATTGAGTCATGGTTAATTTTTTTCCGCACCTTACATAACCAACTACTTTTGTCGGTTTACACTACTAAAATAAGGGCGAGTAAACAACAAAAAAACACCGATTAATTAAAGTCACTTCAAGGACTGATTTTTATGTTAGAATATTCATCCAATATCCTAAGAGAACTATTTTTGGATGTCTAATTCTATTGGTCGATTCCTATTGGTTAATTCCTATTGGTCGTCCTGCCTATCAATATCACAGACTTCAAATGTTGTTTCCTATTCGACTAAAATGTATAAATACGCATTATCTGTAACGTTTTATGACCCAGACCCGAATCCTTAGTCCGGGATCCTGATTCTCTTCTGGATTCGGACCTCGTACTGTTGTCTATGCCTAAGCTTACTGACTTTTCTAGACTAAGTAAGAGTCAGTGGGGCAGAGAGAGAGTGAATTCAGCTATCGATTTGTGTATCAGTAAAGAGTTAAAACTGTCTCAAGGTATATAAGTGCTAAAAATATTATTTTGATCGACTGTGTTTGTTATGCTCGTCAATCGATATGCTTAAACGCTATTACGAGTTCACCTAAGTTGGTAAACGACTGATCCAGTGACACGATACGCTACTCTAATCCGAGAGTTTCAAGGCCCCACTAAGTAGAGGAAGAAGTCTTGACAAGACGTACAAAGTGTATTCTACAAGCACTCAACTAATCTGACGTTGGCAAGCACACAAATCGAGTTTATTTATACAATGATAGAAATGTCCTTGGGAGAACCACAAAAATAGCGTACTAAAATAACACATCAACCAATCATTTTTCCGGCTGAGAACTATAATCTCAAGGTCAACTGATCAACCCATGTGCTAAAACATGAAATCCAAGTTTGGGACGTTTATCAAGTAAGTTCTGGCGATCTAACGTCCCCAACAGTGTTTTCTGTATGTTTCACGTGATGATTGATTAACAGTCAGGGGTTAAAACACTGACAATTTTTTTTAATCTATATTTGTAGGCATCTGGAATGTTGCGATATTCTGACGATCCAATGAAATTGGTGAATAAAATGAGTAAAGATTTAGATATTGCATGTTATAATGGTAAGTTTTAAGAAAATCTTTTTAAACCTTTCTCTCTCATATTAACATAGAATAATGATAGATCACATTATTTGCCTTTTTTTTTTCACTATTTTTTAATCAAAATTGTCTAGTGTTATCCAAACTAGTACTGTAGTGCAGGAGAACACAGGTGGGGCAACCGAATTGTATTTAACAAAAATTACAGAGTTACTCAGTAAAATAGGAAAACCATATCGTAACCGTTAATTTACAAAATATCAGTTCATCATATATCGAACTGGTCTGTTCCTGTTGCAAAACATCATCAATCCATTGTCACTATTCATGCGTTTCATACAAATTCCATTGTGTTCTTCTAACTCTTCCTTTCTTGATCTTTCCCCATCCTCTTCTGCTGTCAGACATTACGTTGACACTCACGGCATATACTACTTATAAGTAGCTCGCACCACAGCACCACAGTACTTATGCCTGTTGACCCAAATGGAACATAGTCTGCCGATCAGTGTTTTCTAACTTACCACTCTGTCTTAGGCTTTCCTTTCCAGTTTTACCCAATATATCTGTTCATCGTTTTGATGTCTGTCTGCTTCCGATTCTCTTCAAAATATGTCCTGCTCGGTCTTCCTCTTTCCACCTGACCTTGAGGATTCCAAGTGAGGGTTTGTATTGTGACATGATTGCGTGATTTCCCTAATGTGTGTCCTATTCACTAACTCCAGCGTTCCTTTCTGATTTCTTGCTCCACTGGGATCTGGTTTGCTCTCTCTCACAATCGGTTGTTGCTGATAGTGTTAGGTCAACGAATGATGAGTATCTTTCGTAGACAACTGTTAATAAACTCTGTCCAGTGAATGATGGCTTTTATAGTTTTCAAACTTCCACACTCAATTGTTAATAAGTGCTTGCATCTTTTTGGATGATTTCCTTCGTTGCTCTCTAAGTTTTTGCCCCATATAGTAGGACTGTCTTGATATTTTGCATTGAAATTCTGACTTTGATGTTTTTGAATTGTAGCAATGCTGTCCTTGGTTTACTAATCCATCATGTCCTTACATTTTCATCAGATCTTCCTAGTTTATCAGTGACGTTGCCAAGATATGTGAACGTTTTCACATGTGCTATGTATGCTTAACCACCGACTGCTTGGACGCGCTATGTTTTGTGATTTAGGGGTAGGTTGGAAGAAAACTAGGGGCCGTCAGACCAAAACAAGTCACCAGTTCATGAAGTCACTGACAGCTGGACTGAGCTACGTTAGTAGTAGGTATAGATTACCGGGTCAGGGTTCGTGAGACTATAGTAACCGATTTGAGTTGGCGATTGCACCTCTGTGTGTATATGGTATGGAAACTTGAACTGATGTGCGTACTCACGTACGAAATTCTACCTTGTAACTGACTGAAACGTTCTCACATCTTCCAAAGCTTATCTGCTGTTGAGCACTGTTGAAAATTATTTAGATTGTAATTAGATAACCGTGAGTGACCAAGAACCATCTTACAGTTTTATTGTATTAGATGACTCAGTTAGTAAGTATCTGTCAAGGTCATCACTTGCTATGCTTGAAACTATTACAAATTTACCTTAGTTGATAAACGAGAACTAGACAATGAACCATTGTCTGGGTAGGCTACTGTGATCCGTTGATCCAAAAGTAGTGACGAAAAGTCTTGATATGGCGTAGAAAGTGTATTCTAAAAACACCCAGCAGGCTTAATGATCTCAAGCACACAAATCGCGTTTATTTATACATTATGGGAAGGTCCTTGGGAGCGTCACAGAAATAGCACACCAAAATAATACAGCAACCAATCACAGTCAAGGATTTTCTCGGTGGGAAATGTGATCTCAAGGTCAACTGGTCAGTCCATGAATAAAATCCAAAATAAAGGCATTTATCAAGCGAGTTCTGGGGATCTAACATCCCCAACAGTGTCCTCCATGATTTCACGAATATTGAGACCTGGAAACGTTTAGCCATGTTCGGCAAAAGCTTAATCTTAAAATCAGTAGCTTGATATCCAACAATATACATTTCTGAATTCGATTTTATTCACAGTATCATATGACCACTACTTTATGTGGGAAATTGTTTCGATATCCCTGTCGATAAGAATTGAAATCCATTGTCACGAATTCTGAATTTAGAACTACTGGTTCTGTTTCTCAGGGTTTTTTTAATCAACAAACGCTTGAATATTAATAGTAATTGCAATTACTGTCTGACTTTTTCTCAAACGACTATAATATAACGCGAAACAGCTGTTTCCTTTTTAGTATTAAAGTTGTCAACTACAGTCCCCTCAAGGTGTGAGGGCGAAATCGTACTGCTGATTGTAGAGGAGTGTGATGACAGTAAGGTGTTTCCCTTGAACAGCTAGCATCTGGAGCGATGCTGCTTTCTCACAAGTAAGGAAGGGGTTAGAAAAAGTTGACCCTAAATGTATCTCACTTCACCTTGCCTTACGGATATCGATCTCTGGCTGTAAGGCGGAGTTAGCACTTTACGAACATCGCATAAAAAGAACGTACGTGACCGGCCTGAAGCAGTTGTCCCTTGAGCTCTGCAGTCACGCCGTCAGGTTGCTAAGACCAAGGCTAATCTAACTCCCTGTTTAGGTTACTCAAGAAATAACCTTCCACGGTGCGAGTAGCCGCCCTCATAGCCGTAACTGTACACGACACCAAATTAGTCACAACGAAATCCTTCCTACATCTCTTAATCACTGTCTTATCTCCACAACCCCAACGCTTCTTTCATTCCTTTGTAACCTCGCGCAGCTAATTCAAACATTTCTAGTACGTGAAACATTCTTTCTGGTCTCCTGAAACTCCCTGCTACACTATATATTTGTTAGGATATTCATCCAATATCCTAGGAGAATTATTATTGATCAATTCCAATTGGTCGATTTCTATTGGTCAAAATTATGATCGTTTTAACTGTCAAAGTCAAATACTTCAATGTTGTCTCTTATTGGTGTCATCCGGACTGTCAATGTCATTTCAAATGTTATTTCTTATTGGTTGTCCTGACTATCAATGTTACAGACTTCGATGCTGTTTCCTATTCGACCAAAGTGTATAAATACACATTATCTGTAACATTTTCAAGATCACGACCAGAACCAACGCTCAGTCCCGGATCCCTAGTCCGGGATCCTGATTCTCTTCTGGACTCGGACCTCGTACTTTCTGGATGCTTGTAGAATACACGTTCTACTTCATATCAAGTCTTCTTATTTTTACTAAATATGGGGGTTGTAATAATCGGATTTGAGTAGCATATCGTGTCTCCGGATCCTCGCTCTCGTTTTTCCGACTACGTAAACTCGTAAATAGTTCAAGTATATACCAAGTTGACGTGCTCACATGTAGGCGTAACAGTTTTAGAGCTTTTATTTGTTCGCATTGATATTCTGATGCAGTTTTTTCTTTCTCTCACCTCCGACAGCTTCACGTCTATCAAAAATGTTAGATAATCTACTAGAATCTCAACCAAAGCCACAACAACAACAGCAATTGTTAAAACCTACTACATTGAACAGTACTAACACTAACACTAATTCAAGTAATCATCCTTCCAACAACATCAATACAACCACTACCACAACCACTACAACAATCAATGAACAAATTAAACGTTTACAAAATGAAAAATCCATTGCATTCGATATTGTACAAGCATGTTTATTTCGTATGACCGCGTTATTGGTGATGCACAAGTCACAGAATCATAATCCACGAAGGAATAAAACACATTTCATTAGTTTCGATGGTGATGATGATGATGCTGATGATCGTGACGATGACGATGGCCTTGACGAAGATGGTGGATATGACGACGAGGATAGCGATGGTGATGAGTCTCAGGAAGGAGATGCCGAAGAGGTCGACAATGACGATGCCGAGGATGATGGTGACTGCAGTGATGATGATGCTGACGATGACGATGGTGGGATTGACGCTGACGGTGATGATGCTGGTGGGCATGATGATGGTGATGATGATAATCCGTTGGATGGTGGTGAAGTAAATGAAGATGCGGCGACCAAGTCATCTGTACCACAGAAACGTCATCAACAACATCATCGATATCATCATAAAATACGTCGTCATCTACAATATGGTGGATCAGTGATGAAACGATTGTTGTTGAATAAACCGAAACGATCCATTTATCAAGTTAGTAATCCTACTGTCACCTCTTATCCTACAACCAATAGTGGTAAACCAATGAACAGTGCAAAAAATACTACTATTACCGCTATTAGTAGTAGTTGTGCTGGTGGTTTTAACTCATCCTCAAAGAAATTGTATGTTATGAAAGGTGATGCAGCAAGACGTTTGCTACAAGAAATATGTCATTCTCCATTGAAATTATTTACTACAGAAATGTTAGAAAATGCATTAGCTTGTTGGCAATGGTTAGTTGTTGGTAGACCGGAGTTAACTATTCAGGTAAGAATTATTATATATATACATATACACATGTATATATATATTTATTGGGGCACAGTTTTCGAGGTTTGCGTTTTTACACATTTGAAATCATTAATCAATCATCATTGTTAGACCACCATTAGAAACCTGGAAGCACTGCAAGACGGCCGTTTCGTCCTAGTATGAGACTCCTCAGTGGCAGTGCGCATCCACGACTCCTGCTCCTCGCAGGATGCGCACTGCTGAGGAGTCCCATACTAGGACGAAACGGCCGTCCAGTGCTTCCAGGTTTCTAATGGTGGTCTAACAATGATGATTGACTAATGATTTCATATATATATATTTGCCAACCTACGTCACTTATGGCGTAGGCGAGATATCTGCTCGCTGACCGAAGGACGAGTGTACTACTGCGCAGCAGTTCGCTCCTTTTCTCTCCTATATGGTTGTGAAACATGGCCTTTAAGAGTAGAAGATGTTCGTAGGTTACTAGTATTCGATTATAGATGTTTAAGAAGCATTGCTCGTATATCGTGGGACAACCGAGTAAGTAATGCTGTCGTTAGGAAACGGGTGCAAGGTAAGGATGGAAGATCAATAGATGAAGTGCTGAAAATTCATGAGTTGAGGTGGTTGTTGGGACATGTGCTGCGTATGCCTAACCACTGACTGCCTCGACGAGCTATATTTTGCGGTGTAGGATTAGGTTGGAAGAAAGCTATGGGCGGCCAGACCAAAACATGGCAGCAATGCATGAAGTCACTGACAAGTGGACTGAGTCATGTTGGTAGGTATAGGCTACCTGGTTGGTGTCCGCGAGACGAAAGTCATCAATGGTTAGAGGCCTTGAACGACATGGCTGAGAATCGTTTGCAATGGCGCAAGTGCATCCATTTCGTTGAGCTCTCTTAAATCCTAATCTTCTGGATTCGTCAGCACATCTACCTTTGTCTTGCTAAACTTATCTCACTGAATTATACTTCTTGAATAATATCTTCAAACCCTAATCTTCTTCATTACCATGAATACCTCTACTATCTTTATCACTACTATGGGATTTGAATTGACATTTGCGTCTCTGTGCTAATGTGTTGGTATGGCAACATGAACTGATGTACATAGACGTACGAAGTTCTTACGTTGCAACTAAGTGACTGACTGACTGATATGTATATATTTATAAAGATATCTATAATGTAATTGTATTTTCTTATCTCATGTTTAGGCCTACAATTGGTCCAGTCTCTTTTAACATCTGCTCATCATATGCGCATTTACTCGTTACTGCTTTTAGGTTACAAACATTAGTGGTGGTAAGAGTTCAGGGCCTTGAAATCCTTATTTACTTACTGTTTATAGGACATAGACTGGATTAAAGCATTATTTCGTTATTGAACATGGATGCCCACTGATGATGCCCATACCAGGACGAAATGGCCTTTTGAGTGCTACTATGTTTCTATTGGTGGTAGTTTAACAATGATTGTGATTCATAATTTTTCTAGTAACTCAATTCATGATCTAACAATCTAACAGTTATTGAATTCCATAAAATTCACTCATCTCTTCAGTAGCTTTCATATATCATATCATTTATGATCGGGGAGAGAGAGTGTTAGCGAGACATGAATTGGATTAAAGCATGTTCCATACACGATTGCGTTGTAGTACGCTGATCGGCTCCTTCGTACCCAATCAGCGCTAGCCAATACTGAGGGAACATTCTAGAGTCTTCTTCTGTAAGAAAAACTATAAATATACTAACGTCTTTTCCTTTTTGGATCTTTTGTCTTCCATTCTAACCTTGTTATTGGAATATAATCTTACTATTTTCCTGTTCAACCGTGTTCTGATTTGGGAGAATATCTCGAGTGAATTGATGTCCGAGTATACTAAGCATTAGGAGCAATAGCTAGGTTGTCATAAAGAGAGAATTATAACACTTACCATGTGACCAGCGGAGTTCAAGCCTGTCGGGTGTATACAGTTAGCTAGCGAAGACAGTCGGGGTGAGATTACGCAATAAATTGGATACAGGTTCAGTGATCGATAGGTTGGGCGTTCGTGTGCGAAAGCGAAGGCGACAGGTTCAATTCCTGCGAGCAATGAGCGAGGCATGGATGCTTACTGTTACTGAGTTTCATACTCTAGTGCTTCCAAGTTTTTAATGGTGATCTATCAAGGATCGATTCCTTACTTTACTGTGAAACTCAACAATCTCCATAACCCTATAATGAGAATTAGCATGTGCTCATTACTGAGGAAATCCTCTTAATTCTATCGAGAAATCGTGACCAGTAGAGTTCAACCCTTGTTCAAGTGTAAGACAATACCCACTGAAGACAATAAATGAGGTCGCGCAATACCTTCAATCGATTCGAGTTAGACATTAACACCGTTGAATACCACCAGCTCAAGGGTCTACAGATTAAGTGTTTTTGCGCAAGTCCAATGGTCTTGGATTTGGTGGATTCCTGCTTTCGTGGGGTTACATTTCAGCTGAATAAACCTTTAGTGTGTGGGTTTCTTGAAAATCAAAGTCATGCAAATTGTTTTCCACTGTATCTGTAGATGACAGTTTACTGTTATTATTATTATTATTATTACTATTGATTACAGCTTTTAAATGAATTAAGTGATGCATGGCAAATTACCATACATCGACGTCTTGGTGTATTCTCTGTGCATAATGCCGATGATGGTGAAGTTCTACCATTGATTGTATCTGATCAATTGAAGTATAGTCCATCAAAATGTAACACTGGTCCACATCAATTATGGTCACAGGTGAGTGAGTGATTAGGTTGGACAGACACACACACACACAGAGACAGACACGTACGTCTTTATTGTGTTGATTAAACTGTTATTACCAAGTCTGCTTTTTGTGAGATATGCCGCCTCGGCACAAATTCATGAAGTCCACTGACAACTGGACTGAGTCATATTAGTTGATGTCGACTAGTTGATTGGAGTTCGTGAGATAATAAATAGTAACTGATAGTTAGAAACTTTGAATGATTGTTACGTCTGCATGTAAACACGTCAACTTGATATACTTGAACTATTTACGAGTTTACCTAGTCGGAAAACGGATCCGGTGACACGACATGTTACTCAAATCCGATTATTACAACCCGCATATTGAGTAAAGAATAAGAAGACATGATATGAAGTAGAACGTGTATTCTACAAGCATCCAGAAAGTACGAGGTCCGAATGCGGAAGAGAATCAGGATCCCGGACTAGGGATCGGGGACCGAGCCCTGGTCCTGGTCGTGATCCTGAAAATGTTACAGATAATGCATATTCATACATTTAGGTCAAATAGGAAACAGCATCGAAGTCAGTGACATTGACAGTTAAGATGACCAATAGGAAGTAACATTTGTAGTGACATTGATAGTCAGGACAACTAATAAGAAACAGCATTGGAGTACGTGACAATGATATCAATAGGACGACCATAAAATTGACTAGTAGAAATTAACCAATAGGAATAGACCAATAATAATTCTCTTAGGATATTGGATGAATATCCTAACATAATGGTCTGTTCATATGCTATGCATATTGATTGACGAAGCGATCTAGATCGGAAATAATCACTAGACTATCAGGTACCTGTCGGGTGGTTACACCACATGATTGAGCCGACATGTTCAGGTCGTGGGCAGTCTCCTTGGTTCTCTTGAAAACCAATGTAAAATAACCCTAACTTTATGTTAAAACTGTATATAGCCTACACAGCAACTGACATACAAGCAAAAAGGCACGAAGTGCCAAAAGAGCACTTTGCTCTAAGGTTAATTAGTTTATGTACAGAATAACAAGGTTATATCTAAAGTTACTCATAACCTTGAGCTTCTGATTATAGTATTAATATGGCTAAATGTCCGGTCCGAATCATAGCATCTGGTTCAACAATCTCAAGTTATTTCTTCGCAGGTTCTATTCAATACTCAGTGGCTATCAACGATTCTCCTCTACCTGTAGAAGAGACTTTTTTTCCAAAGGGATATATTTTGAAACTCCTCCTCTCCTCAACAACAATAATCGTCTTCTTTTTTTTAATTTAAATAATCGTCAAACAAATTTTTTTCATTTTCATCGTTCAATTTTCAATATTCAATAATATCACATGCTCATTTACAGTTCTTCAGTGAACGTTTATATGTTGCCCAATCATCAAGTCAAGAACAATTGGATATATTTTTCGATTTATTACAAAAAACATTGGCAGGTGAAATTGCTTCATTGAATAAAAGTATTCAATTGGTATCGATCAATAATAATTCATTGGAGTACAGTAAAAATTCACATCGTTGCCGTTTAAAACAACATCCATCTTGTATTATTCAAGGTCGTTTAACGAATAATGTTGCTGCATTAGGTGTACGTTGTCGTCTTGTCGAAATGTGCCTTAGTTTGTTACAAAATACTGGATTTAAAATAAATTGCACGAAAAGTCAAGGTATATCAATGGATGAATTGTCTTATAGTAATAATATCGCTGGCGGTACAACAACATCGGCGACATCAGGAACAGGAACAGCTGCAGCAGGCGCAGCATCAGCGTCCTCTACAACAGGAATTACTGGGACAGGTGGTGGTGGAGTTGGTAGTAGTGGTGCAAGTGTTGTTAGTGCTGGAGGACGTACTGCAGGAAGTAGTGCAAGTCAAGATGTATCAGATGCAGGTTATGTGTTTCCGTTAGCTAGAATAGCTTTACGTGAGAAAGCTTATGCAACTATATTGAATTATTTCACGTAAGACATTAACAGATTTCTTATACATATGTGTTGTTTGTAATGTACATGTTACGCCTTCACGTAAACACGTCAACTTGATATACTTGAACTATTTACGAGTTTACCTAGTCGGTAAACAAGAGAGCGAGGATCCGGTGACACGACATGTTACTCAAATCCGATTATTACAACCCCCATATTTAGTTAAAATAAGACAAGACTTGATATGAAGTAGAACGTGTATTCTACAAGCATCCAGAAAGTTGCGAGGTCCGAATCCAGAAGAGAATAAGGATCCCAGAATTAGGGATCCGGGACCGAGCCCTGTTTCTGGTCGTGATCTTGAAAATGTTACAGATAATGCGTATTTATACATTTTGCTCGAATAGGAAACAGCATCGAATTCTGTGGCATTGATAGTTAAGACGACCAGTAGGAAGTAACATTTGAAGTAACATTGATAATCAGGACAACCAATAAGAAAGAACATTGAAGTATTTGACTTTGACAGTTAAAACGACCGTAATTTTGACCAATAGAAATCGACCAATAGGATTTGTCTAATAATAATTCACTTAGGATATTGGATGAATATCTTAACAGTACAGTCACTGTTTTTGTAGTCTTTTCAATGTTCAACGGTGATTATGTAAGTGAGAACTAGTGAAGATCTTTGGGTAGCTGATTGTATAAGGGTTTGTAATTACTCCACTCATCCCCAATCTGTTAGTTTAGTTTCTTTAAAAGTTGTTCAGACATGTCACATTGCGTTCTAAAACAAATTCTTTAGCTACTTATCTATTCAATATTCCTTGACAGTGTTATAATGCTGCTACGTATAGCTAGCTATTCAGTCCTAGTGGCGTCCAAATTCAAATATCCCAGTACGACCTCAAATACTATTCCCAAATCTCCAGTATAGATCAGAACACAACACCGTGGAATGGATTTGCTTATTGGGTCAAGTACAGAAGAGAAGTAGTCAGGAAGGAACGGAATCGGAATCATGAAGTCTTACAGATAGTGCGTATTTATACATTTAGGTCGAATAGGAAAGAACATCAAAGTCTGTGACATTGACAGTTTAAGACGACGACCAATAGGAAAGAACATTTGAAATGACACTGACAGTCTGGATGACAACATAAGAGACAGCATTAAAGTATTTGACTTTGACAATTAAAACGATCATAATGTTGACCAATAGAAATCGACCAATAAGATTATACTGCCAAAAATAGTAGTACTCTTAAGATATTTGGTGAATATCCTAACAGACAGACCATAGATGTTACCTTGACGTGGTGGTCGAGCTTGCCTATTGTGATAATCCAAACGAGTTATACTGGTTAAGACGTATGTTCCTGTAGGTTCTACTATGCCAGACAGGTCGATTGGAGAACGATGAGACTAAAAGCATCTACTCCATGGTTTGAGGGCGAAGTTGTACTGCTGGCTGTAGAGAGGTGTGCAAGCTGTGAGGTGTTCCCCTCGGAAAACCAGCATCTGCAGCAATTCTGCCTTGTCAAAACGAAGGAACGGGTTGGAAAACGTTGACCTTAAAAAAGTCTCACCTCAGCTTACCTCACGGATTTCTGTCTGCAGTGCTAAGGCCTTTAAAAAAGAACAAAGCTAACACTTTGAATACTACCCGTAAAAAAGCTGTGCGTGACGGGCCTGAAGCATTTGTCCCTTGGTCTCTGCGATCACGCTTCCAGGCCCCTAAGACCGACACCAATTTACCTCCCTTTTCAGGTTCTTCAAGTAACACCCTTCCACGGTGTAGGCAGCCGGAAACTGACATCCGCCTTCATACATGTAACAGCACCCGAGACCAAATTCGTCACGCATGAATTGAGTGCTTGTGTCTTGTCCATTCCGGACTGATTGTGGATTATATATTCTTCCCTATGGACTCTGGACTTCTTCCTCTAGTTGGCTGAGCTGGTGCGTAGAGAGAATGACTTAGCTTCGTTCTAGTTATTATGTTGCAATCGCATTCCATAAAGAAAAATTCAGATCATTATTTATAGTCGCAAAAGTGAATAGAGACTAGCAATGCAATCCAGGAATGTATTTGCATCGTTCGAGTTTATGTCGACGCCCGGGACTCGAACCCAGTATGTCCCGAATGACATCACATTTATATACATCTATTTGTTATTTACTGTGTTTTTGTTTGTAGAGTCAAACCACAATATCCTATTAAACCAGATGCAGATTTATCTGATGAATTAAAATTATTAAGTCGTCTATGGAGTTTAATGCAAGCTGAACGTAAATATTTAAACACAAGTATGATTGACACCGAGATGGATGCATTGTTAGAAGCTATTGGTCGTGGAGGTTATCTAATTGGTAATGATTTTGACTATGGTACCATCATAGGTGGTGGTTATCTCGCCGACCAAATGACAGTGAATACACCGGAATCTGTTGGCGGCGTCAGCGGCGGCGTCGTCAGTGGCGGTAGCAGCACTGTGGTTGGTGCACCCTCGGGTACATGGGCTGGTTCATCTAGTTTTTCCACAAATCCTATCACAACAACAGCAGCGACAATAACAGGAACAACAGGAACAACGTCATATCATACAACCAGTTCATCACCAAATATTCGACATGTTAATTCAAATGTCTTATTCACTGAATCATGGATTAGTTCCAATGTGACAACAATGACAACAATGTCTACGGCTACAATTACAAGTGGGTTTGCAGGTGGTGGTGGAGGAGCTACTCTACCACGGCTACGTTCACAAGTGATGCTTTTATCAAATCAACCATTAGAACGTCCTGGTGTTGGTTCACTTATTTTACCTTCAGCATTGAATTCCACCACTTCATCAACATTACAAAATGCTGCTGTTCTAGCTGGGACAAATATTGCACATTCCGTTGTATCGAAACGATCATCAGCTGCTACTGGTGGTAAGTTCTAGTGAGAATAGATTGTCCACATTGTATTATTGATTATTTACTGACTTTACTTACTTAGTTATACGTGTTACCCCTAGTGGAGAGTAAATCGCGGACCAAATTTTTGTTTCCATGTGCCTAAAAACATGGTCGCTCGGGTTGTCAGAAGGGGCATCGACCTTGTGACTTCCGCTTTATAAGCGAGTTAGTTTTTTATGGGATGGGGTCCCAAACTCAAGTTCAACCCTCCTCCTCTGTCCGCGCTTGGGAGCGCCAGTATCCCCAGAGGGACTCCAGATGGAGTTTCTAAGTAACCTTCAAAAGAACTGTGGTGAGTCCATTTCAACGTCGGGCTCACCATTTTTGTGGTGGCCAAATATCTGCGTGTTCTTAAGCTTGGTAATTAGTTCGTCTAGACAATCGTTACAAAAGTAGCGTCTGACGCTTATAAATCAGAAGATGAATTCGAAGTAATGAATACGTTTATTTTTGGACACATCACAAAGCGAAGTTGAAAAGCAGCGAAAAAAACATACGAAACGACGTGAATCAGAGAAGGCTAATGAACCAAATCCAAAGAGATAGAGCATGACTAAGAATATATAGTCAGACAGATATAAGACAGACATGCAACAAGCGAAATAGGCACACATGAATAAAAGCGACGAATAGTTGACAAGGTCAAATGACAAGTGGGACACGTCATGTGAGCTCATCATACAAACCAGACAATAATAAGAACGAATGGTACATATAAATTGTTGCAATACAAATGGCTTGGTTAAATAAATTAATCGAAAGGGCTTAACCAAATTAAATGTAAGCGAACTGGAATACATGTGGAGGCACTACAGAACCACTGAGGGAACAATGTTGAAACTAGACACGGTAGCACTTTATAAGCATGTCAAATTTGTCGGTGAATTAGTGAATCTTTATCGATGAAAATGGTTGAGACATAGATTATGTGTGCTTAAGCACCATGTACCATGACCCAGGATCTTCGATGATATAAAAATGGTTTAAAAGAAAGTTGGATTCTGTAGGGTTCGTCACTTAGTATGCTTGAGGCTATTACGAGTTCATCTTAGTCGATAAACGCGAACGAGACAATGAACCAGCGTCCAGGTAGGCTACCTTGAATCCCCAGGCCGAAGAAAAAAGGCTTTGTAAGCGTAGAAAGTATATTCTACAAACACCCAGCAATCACAATACAATCAAGCACACAAATCTCGTTTATTTATACATCATAGAAACGTCCTTAGGACAGTTACGAAAATAGCACACTAAAATACACAGCAGCCAGTCACAGCCATGGATTTTCCTGGTGGGAATTGAAATCCCAAGGTCAACTGATCAGCCCATACTGGCAAACGTGAAAACCAAAATAAGGTATTTATCAAGCGAATTTCGGGGATCTAACATCCCCAACAATTCAGTTATATCAAGTTTTCACATCAGTCCACAATGTCATATACTTTGTTTGAGAAATGCATAGAGATTGGTTCACGTCGAAAATGCTCCCTTATGAATTCTTACCATGATATTTTGGAGTAGCTCATTTTAATACTATACGGTATTGTTACCAATTCCCTTTCTTACTGTAACACTCTGGCGTTCGGGTGTACAAAAAAAAATTCACTTCATTCTTAACTTAATAAATGCTTTATTTTATCAATGATATCCAATCAACAATAAAAGTAAAGGGATTTGAAGGATTTGATTTTGACCAATTTGGTCTCGTGTGCTGTTACGGGTATAATGGTGTTTGTCACTTCCCGGCTTCCCACCCTGTGGAAGGTTGTTTCTTGAGGAACCTGAAAAGGAAGGTAGATTAGCGTTGGTCTGAACGCCCTGGGAGCGTGACCGCAGAGCCCAAGAGACAACTGCTTGAGGCCGGTCACGCACGGCCTTTTCTTGAGTGTTAGCTCCGCTCTTGAAAGCTCTTAGTAGGAACCCTTACCGCCGAAGACGGAAATCCGTGAGGTAGGGTGAGGTGTGACATTTTTTAGGGTCGACCTTATCTTACCCCTTCCTTGCTTGTGAGAAGGCAGCATCGCTTCAGATGCTGGTTATCCGAGGGAAACACCTTACTGCTGTCACACCTCTCTGCAGTCAGCAGTACGACTTCGCCCTCAGAACTTGAGTAGCTGCTTTTAGTCTCATCGTTCTCCAGTCGACCTGCCTGGCATAGTAAAACCTTCAGGAACATAAGTTCCAGCCAGTATAGCTCGGTTGGGTGATGACGATAGGCAAGCCCGATCACTACGTCAAGGTAGCAGCTTTGGTCGGGTAAAAAGGATATTAATCACACTATTCAATGATCAACTGTCCGTACATATCGCAGTCCTACAAAGAGTCGATATCGGCGCATACAGCTCAGCGGTAATACCTCAGAATTCGGTGAAATTTGGTGATGAGGTTTTTTTATTACCACACGGGAATATCAATTTTCTTTAGAACTGAAGTTACCTCTTGTATGTGAAGCCTAAGTTAGTCAGTATTATCTTTCGACTATCTATCACCATCTAAAAAATTAACAGAGTACACAGTCTATTGAGTGATCCATACTTGTTAGCCCAGTTAGTCTGTACACTCTGTTTGGGTGACCAAACAACTTTGACTCTTTTCAATAAACATCTGTATTGAGGAACCTTATGATACTTGGATGGAATAGTTGATCAACAATTAAAACTTCATTCGGTTTGACTAGTCAACTGACTTCATGTTTGTATCAAAGTAATTAAAACCATCATTTTCATGCAAAATATTCAGTATGAAATAACTAAGCAAGATACACGTATGGTAGTCAATTTTTTACGATTATAACTTTACCTACTTGTAAGTAGTATAAAATTAATACTATAAAATGTTTTTTCATTTTAAATTAGGTAAACAAAGTGCCAGAACTAGTGGAGAAAATTATTTAAGGCAAATATTTTTACAGAAACGTGAATTAATTTTAATTCTGTTGGTATGTAATGATTAGCGTTTTTTTAATGCTTATTCATTTAAATCTACAAATGAATAATGGCTTTTTCGAAACTTTTGATGTGTAATATGTGCTCAGAAAACAAAATCGTTGAGTAATATTTAATGTTTCGAAGTATGTAGAAAATCATTATGAGACCAGCGTTATAAACCTGTCCTAGTTCGGTAGTAGGCATCCACTACTCCTGCTGCTCATGGGGTTTGAGCCCAGGACCTTCGGTGTCATTCGTGAATGCCTCACTCTAATCAAACAATCCAACTTATTGCGCAACATCTTTCATTATCTTCCGGTAGTTAATGCTTACATCCGATAGGATTAGAAGCCTTGAATCAGTGGAATTGAACCCTGTCAGATGAAAGTAGTAACTACTGGAAACAGTGAGTGAGGTGGTGGAATACCATGGATTGTATTACGCCTGCACGTAAACACATCAACTTGATAAACTTGAACTATTACGAGTTTACCTTGGTCGGAAAACGAGAGCGAGGATCGAGGATCCGGCGACACGGCATACTACACAAATCCGATTATCCCAACCCCCATATTGAGTAAAAATAAGAAGACTTCAGATGAAGTAGAACCTGTATTCTACAAACATCTAGAAAGTACGAGGTCCGAATCCAGAAGAGAATCAGGATCCCAGACTAGGGATCTGGGACTGGGTCCTGGTCCTGGTCGTGGTCATAAAACGTTACAGACAATGCGTATTTATACATTTTGGTCGAATAGGAAACAGCATCGAATTCTGTGACATTGATAGTCAAGACGACCAAGAGGAAGTAACATTTGAAGTGACATTGATAGCAGGACAACCAATAAGAAAGAACATTTGAGATGACATTGACAGTCCGGATGACAACATAAGAGACAACATTGAAGTATTTGACTTTGACAGTTAAAACGACCGTAATTTTGACCGATAGAAATTGACCAATAGGATTTGACCAATAATAATTCTCTTAGGATATTGAATGAATATCCTAACAGATTGTTTGATTTAATTTAGACATTAAAACCGTCCAGTACAGATTCAGTGGTCTGTATGCGAGATCGACTGCTCTGTATTTGATTCCCTTAAGCGGAGGTCATAGATGCTTACTGTTGAGGAGTCTCATACTATAGGATAAAATGACTGTTCAGTGCTCTTACAGGTTTCTAATCGTGTGCTGGTCTAAACTATGATCGATTCATGATTTCAGAGTAAAAGCAACAATCTGCATAACCGTATAGAATGAATGACATTATTTTAGTTAATAAATTCAGTAAAATTGCGCCTAGTCAATTCGTTTGTCACTTGTTTATTCGATATTCAAAAAAATTTTTTCTCTCCCCTCATAGGCTTCCGAAATTGAACGTCTGTCAGTATGGTTTAATCCACAAGGTTTATCTGATCGTATTGGAATTAAAGAAGCAGAAGTTGAAACATGGTTACGTGAAACATTACGCAAAAAATCATGGCGTCGATGGATATCTTTAGCATGGGATTTATGTCCACCTGTAGCTGTGTATATGCCACAAAGGTAGGTAGGTGGTTGCATTGAATTCGAAGTGTAGAGGCCATCATTTTGATTACTAGTCGTCTGACTTCAAATAAATCTTCCCTCCTCTTATAAATCTTAGTGTATTCTCTGACAATATTACACTCGATAAGTCTCCAAATCAGAACACGGTTGAACAGGTAAGAGATTATATTACAGCTAGCAAGGTTAAATGGATGCCGAAATAGAAACAACGTTAGTATCTTTGTAGTTTTTACATGAGAAGCTTTCTGTGATGATGTACTCTACGCCTGGACTGGCGCTGATCGGATTAGATTTAGACAGTCAGCGCGCAGTTAACGTAGTCTTGCTTTTATTCATCTATGTCTTGGTAACACTTTCGATTTCTGTATGTCATGTGTCTAGTTCAACTTCGTTTAGTGAGAAGGCGATAATACAAAGACGCCGAATATGTATTGGTTTGGATGAATTTATTTCAAGCAATTGTTCACACAGGTGCAGATATGAGGATGGAAAGCGCGCAAGCAAAGCGATGCGAAGACAGTATTGAGGCATGACTAAGCACTTAGAGTCAGACAAGAATAACCTAGACATGTGATAAACGAAGTAAGCGGCAAACGCACCTTTAAACAAAAACTATTAAGGATATAAGTGAATAATGGACAAGGTCGAAAGACGATTGAATAGTGACTTGAGGAGAATGGATTAATTAGTTTATTCAAAGTTTGGGACAAGCCATGTGGGCTCGACATGTTAGGGCACACACACTACAAATTAACTGTACTTTAGTTTATTAGTATAGAAGAGATTTGTTGGAAATTGTTGAATACCATTCAATGATGAAGTGTGCGTGTGTTTGTACTTTGACATCGATTGAATGCCAGTTACATGAGACAGTTGTTTCGTTCTAGTGTATTATGCCTCTTCTATGGAAGTATACATCTACTACTACTATTCAGGGATCAAAGCTTTGACTCTAAGATTTCGTGACCAACATATAACTTGTAAAAACCACTATTGTAGTTACGGTGGAGCTGGATTTTTCGGTTGTGGAGTTGCCATTGTTTTCTTCTGAATGCAAAATCATCAGCACAAACTTCAGATAAAAGATAGACAGACAGACAGACAGATACAACGCAGAACTTCATACATAAGTACATCAGTTCAGGTGCCATACAACGTCAGCACAGAGACGTAACTGTCAGTTCAAATCCAAGAGTGATAGCGATGGTACAAGTATTATCAGTAATCGAGAAGATTAGGGAGCGAAGATATGATTCGAAAAGTATAATTCAGTAAGATAAATTTAGAAGGAGAAAAGTGTGGATTATGAGGAATTCAGAAGGTTAGAATTTAAGAGAACACAAAGAGTGGATGCATTTGCGCCATTGCAAACGATTTTGAGTTATGTCGTGTTCAGGGTCTCTAACCATTGGTGACTTTCGTCTCGCGAACCCCAACCAGGTAGTCTACATCTACCAACATGACTCAAACCACTTGTCAGTGATTTCATGGATTTGTGCCATGTTTTGGTCTGGCCGCCCCTAACTTTCTTCCAAACTTCTCCTACACTACAAAACAGCTCGTCGCAGAAGTCGGTGGTTAGCCGTACGTAACACATGTTCCAACCACCTCAAATGATGAAGTTTCACTACTTCATCTATTGATTTGCCATCCTTACCTAGAACTCGTTTCCTAACGATAAAAGAACATTTGACCTGTAGTTTGTTCAGGTAATCTCAATTCTGCCTTGGTTGTTATTGACCTTAAATCTGTCGTTCATTACACCTTTGTTTTGATTGTATCCCCCTTTTGATCTGTTTCTTGATCTTACGTCGCCTATGATTTATCTGATTGGTTGATAAATTGAATCAATGTCATGGTGTTTGTTGATTGTTGAGTGACCTTATTGCGAAGCTTCTAAAAATTCTCTAGTTCCCTGTGTACCTCTTCTGTCTGGTGTTTCAAATAAATGTATTTCCACAATTGTCTGTATGTTTATGTACGCTTGTAGAGGACGTCCACTTTATCGGTTATAGTGTTTTTCTCCGTAGATAAAAACCGATCAAGATTGAAATCAACAGAACCAAGCTACGAGTCATACGTGGAGAAAGTTGAATACTTCACTTCTTTTACCCTGAAGTTTGTGCTGATGTTTGGGATGTTCAGAAGAGAACAATGAAAGAGCTCCACCGCACAACCAAAAACATTCAACTCAGAGAACTTGAACTAAAAAATTTCTCGAGATCTCTTCACGGAATCATCCATTTTCATATTTCATTAAAACAGTTTTTAAATCTTTTCATATACTTTTTATTCTGTACAAAATTCCTTTTTTCCCCAAAACAGATTTACTAGTTCAGATGAATTACGTCGTGAAGTTTCCTTGTTTGTAACAGCTGACCCATTGCTTGTTGCTCATATTCCAGCTGCTTTACAATTTTTAGCCACATCAAGTAATATTGAAGATGGACGTTCTGAGGTGAGCCAGAATTTATTTTGCGTATAATGTTTTAAACTACTGATAAGTCAATAAGTAGGTTATAATGTCGGGCTTTATTTTTCGTCTACTGCTCGATCGACTTAATGAGTCGTAGCGGTGATCATGTCCATCGTTTGCTGGAAAAATACTTTACTTCAATCTTAAGTTGATATCTTTTGTTTCGATTAACACATCTATTGCTTTGCCTTAAGTAAACAGCTCCCAGTAATTGTAATTCAGATTGGATTATAAACTGAACTGAGATTACAAATATTCATTAAAATAAGGGTTGTGTAAAATGATCCAAGGGTTGGAGAATAATAGGATGGGGAATAAGAATGATAATTACATCAGTGATCTGAGATGGATGTAAAGAAAGAGATTAAGAAGAATGAAAATATTAATGAAACATTTTGAATACACTACCTTCTCCTGGTGATCGACTGGATTATGAAGACGTCGACATCTGGAGGGAAGCACAGTATTCATTGGACAGCTAGGACGCAGATGGATGATCTGGACTTCGCAGATGACCTGGCTCTTCTATTGCACACGCGACAACAAATGCAAGAGAAGACAACCAGTGTAGCTGCAGCCTCAGCAGCAGCAGGACTCAACATACATAAAGGGAAAAGCAAAATTCTACGGAACAACACAACACGAGCCAACCAAATCACTCTTGATGAGGACGTTAACTCATTTACATATCTGGGCAGCATCATCGACAATCAAGGTGGATCCGATGCAGATGTGAGGGCGCGGATCCACAAAGCAAGGGCTGCATTTCTATAGTTGAAAAATATCTGGAACTCCAAACAACTTTCAACCAAAATCAAAATCAGCATTTTCAATACAAATGTGAAGACAGTTCTACTGTATGGAGCGGAAACATGGAGAACTACAAAAGCCATCATCCAGAAGATACAAGTGTTTATTAACAGTTGTCTACACAAAATACTTCGTATTCGTTGGCCAGACACGATCAGCAACAACGTACTGTGAGAGAGAACGAACCAGATTCCAGTGGAGAAGGAAATCAGGAAGAAGTGGTGGAAGTAGATAGGACACGCACTACGAAAAGCACCTAAGTGCGTCACAAGACAAGACCTCAATTGGAACCCTCGAGGCAAAATGAAAAGAGAAAGGCCAAGGAACACATTACGCCGAGAAATAGAGAAAGACATGAGAGAAGAATGAACAAACATTGGACAGAAGTGAAAAGGGAAGCCCAAAACAGAGTTGGTTGGTGAAAACTGGTCGGCGGCCTATGCTCCATTGGGGTAACAGGCGAAAGTGAGTAAGTACTTATCAAATTCTTCAGGTTAATCGGTTAAAATTTTCAGTTATTTGTAGAGATACATTTGAATTGCCTACCTTTTATTGCAGAGGAAGTTACACAGTAGTAATAATGTGTTTTGTTCTGTTTTCGAACCAAGGACTAAACATTTTGGTACATCAGTTCAAGTTAACATTAGAACACATCAGAACAGCGTGTTAAGATCGCTTCAAGACAAATTATAGAGTAGTATGAATAGTGAAAGTCACAAATGGTTTTAGAGTAGTTCAGGTAAACAGATAAGGAAGGTTTAAGAAGATTTTTTTGGGGCTTAAGGTAAAACAAGAAGCGAATGCATCTACACCATTGCAAACGAGTTTGAGCAGTTATCGCCCTAAGTCGTTGATTACAATAATCGCTCTAGCTAACTAGTCTGTACTTATTAACATGACTTTGGCCAAATGTCACTGCGGTAGTTACTACCTACACCCTACACTGTCGAACTCCATTGATCATGGTTTCTCACTAGAAATTAGAAAATCTCCTCACTAAGCTAATCATTAAAGTTTGTCACATAATTTAGTCAAACTTTTGGGATAGCTATTATGAAGCTGAAGATATTCTATATCTATATTGTTGTTACACCTGCACGAAAAACATGTCAACTTGATATACTTGAACTATTACAAGTTACCTTAGTCGGAAAACGAGAGCGAGGATCGAGGATTCGGCGACACGACATTCTACTCAAATCCGATTATCCCAACCGCCATATTGAGTAAAAGAAGACAAGACTTGATATGAAGTAGAACATGTGTTCTACAAGCATCCAGACAGTTACGAGGTCCGAATCCAGAAGAGAATCAGGATCCCGGACTAGGGACCCGGGTCCTAAAACGTAACAGATAATGCGTATTTATGCATTTTGGTCGAATAGGAAACAGCATCGAAGTCTGTGACAGTGACAGTTAAGACGACCAATAGGAAGTAACATTTGGAGTAGTGACATTGATAGTCAGGACAACCATTAACAAACAACATTGGAGTATGTGACGTTGATATCTAGGACGACCATAAAATTGATCAGTAGGAATTGACCAATAATTCTCTTAGGATATTGGATGAATATCCTGACAACTATCGTCTTGCGGACTCCAACCAGGTAGCCTACATCAACCAACATAACTCAGTCCACTTGCTAGTGACTTCATGGATTTTTTGCAATGCTTTGGTCTGGCCACCTCTAGTTTTCTTCCAATCTACTCGGAGTAATTTGATGGTGGTGTAACTTTGCCAATTTTTTTGCAGATTTAATGATTTTAAATGATATTTTCACTGTATACAGAAAACTATAAATAAACATGATTTCTTTGTACACTTACTGGAATAATGAAGAACTCCTTGTGGAGCCAGCCCCTCTGTGGTTACTACCAGTCCGAAGACCGGAGATAAAGAAGGAGAGTTGGGCGCATGGAATTAGCGAGCTCATTCTGTAGATTAACTAACTGTAACTCTTACTTCTAATACTGTGGGTTTGAATTTACATTTCCATATCTTTTTGCTAATGTGGTATGGAAACCTGAACTTATATACGTAGACTTACGAAGTTCTACGTTCTAACTGACCGACTAATCAGTAACTGTGTAGTGAAGGAGAACACAGGTGAGGGCAACCGAAGTGTATTTAACGAAAATTACAGAGTTACTCAGTAAAATAGGAAAACCATATCGTAAACCGTTGTTAATTTGCAAATCTTCAATCCATCATCAATCCAATGTCTGACATTTCACTTATTCATGCGTTTGTTTCATACAAATTCCATTGTGTTCCCTCCCACTCTTCCTTTCTCTTGATCTTCCCCCATCCTCTTCTGCTGCCAGACATTACGTTTCTTTACGCGCGTCATATACTACTTATAAGTAGCGCGCACCACAACTGGAATAAAGCTTTCTTCTGTCTTTCTAGTGACTTCTGACTGACAACCTAACAGAGTGATTCTACTGTTAGCTAGTCTTAGTATCAAACATTCTATTGTGTCTGTATATTATTAACCTTTCTAGTTGAATTCTATCATGTGTTAATAGTATTCCTAATAGTTTACGCTTGTTTCCGTGTGTATACTCTTCTACTCTCTCTTTCTCTCTCTCTCTCAAGTTATCTCATATATTGACATGGTCACCAGTGGCACCAGTCGTTGCATTATCATTCTTTTCACGTATGTATCCACAACATCCTTTGACACATCAATATGCTGTACGTGTATTGGCTGATTATCCACCGGAAACAATGTTATTCTATGTACCACAATTTGTTCAAGGTATACGTTATGATAAAGTAAGTGAATGTTTTCTTTTATGTGTTCGTGAGTGTGTGTGTGTGTGTGTCGATTCTGATGTTTCCCTGTAATCTGTTATTATTAGCCACATGTGTTAATGACATGACATGACATGACAGATACAACGCAGAACTTCGTACGTAATTACATCAGTTCATGTTGCCATACCACCACATAAGCACAGAGATGCAACTGTCAGTTTCAAATCCAATAGTGATAGAGATAGTAGAGGTATTAATGGTAATGAAGAAGACTAGGTGGTTTGAAGATATATTGTTCAAGAAGTATAATTCAGTGAGACAAATTTAGAAGGGGAAGGTTAGAATTAGAGAGAACACAACACAGTGGATGCACCTGCGCCATTGCAAACGATTTTGAGCTATGTCGTGTTCAAGGTCTCTGACCATTGGTGACTTTCGTCCCACTGACCCCAACCAGGTAGTCGACAATTACCAACATAACTCAGTCTACTTGTCAATGACTTAATGGATTTCTGTGATGTTTTGGTCTGACCGCCCCTAGCTTTCTTCCAACCTACACCTACACTACAAAACATAGCTCGTCGAGGCAGTCAGTGGTTAGGCATTCGTAACACATATCCCAACCACCTCGACTGATGAAGTTTCGATACTTCATCTATTGACTTGCCATCCCTACCTAGAACTCCTTTCCTAGCGTCACAAAACAAGCACTCACATGGAACCCTCAAGGCGAAAGGAAAAGAGGAAGGCCAATGAACACATGACGCCGAGAAATAGAGAAAGATATGAGAAGAATCAACCGAAATTAGAGTGAACGTGAAAGTGAAGCCCAGGACAGAGTTTGTTGGAGAAAACTGGTCCTCGGCCTATGCTCGATTGGGGGTAACAGGCGTAAGTAAGTAAGTAAGTTAGGACTGCCCGACCTATATTAGTCAACTACTGTTTGTTTCCATGGAACCCTTCTCCACTTCGGCCTTCAAGGTTCTCACTTGAATATTTTGCTACTATCACCAAGATCTGTACCTGTGGTTGCTCCACCCTAGGCTCACACCTGAGGCTTCCTGCTAGCCACAACGATCCCTCCTACTCGTTGCCGTAACTCCATGCCTATATAACTATGATATTGTATTCACCGTAGTTCTCCTCTGTTTGCACATACATACGTTACACATTTTTTTGAAACCATGAAACGATCAATGTTAGACCACCATTAGAAACCTGCAAGCACTTAAAGATGGCCGTTTCGTCCTGGTATGGGACTCCTCAGCAGTGCGCATCCACGAGTCCTGCACCTCGCAGGATTCGAACCCCGGGACCTTCGGTTATTGTAGGCGAACGCCCTAAGCGTTAGACCACTGGGCCGGTATCCAACGGTGTTAATATCTAACTTGATCAAATTCACGGAGTTGCGCAACCTCATACACAGTCTTCGGTAGACACTGTCTACACCCGAACAGGTTGAACTTCACTGGTCACCTCTTCCCACTAGAACTCGGAGAAGATTCCTCACGAAGCTAGTCACTAGTTAAGTTACACATTTTTGAAACCATGCAAGAGTCATGGATGCCTACTGCTGAGGAGTCCCATACCAGGACGAAACGGCCGTCTTTCAGTGCTTCCAAGTTTCTAATGGTGGTCTAACATTGATCGATTCATGGTTTCAAAAAAATGTGTAATTTAACAATCTTCACAACCCCGTAATATATATATGTGTATATATTATGTACGTGTTTCTTGTGTTCATACGTTTATTCTCCCACTTTCTCTCTCTTTCCATATCCTATAGTTAGGTTATTTATCTGAATCTATTCTGACATTAGCTAAACGATCACCATTGCTAGCACATCAATTATTATGGAATATGAAAACGAATATTTATCGTGATGAAGAAGGATTGAAATTTGACAATGAAATTGGTCATCATTTATTAACTTTATCAAGTATTATACAAAATAATTTCAATGGACCAACTTTAGCATTTTATCAAAGAGAATTTGAATTTTTCGATCAAATCACATCAGTGTCAGCAAAAATTCGGTTAGTTGTTTTTGTTTTTCTTTGTTGTGTGTGTTGTTTTGATTTGACTACTAGTTTTTTTTTAAAAATTTTTAACTGATGTGTTACACATTCCTTGAAAGTTTTACTTACTTTACTTACACCTGTTATCCCCCAATAGAGGAGCATAGGCCGCTCGACCAGTTTCCTCCAAACCAACTCTGTCTGTCCTGGGATTCCCTTTCCAATTCTGTTCAATGTTTGTTCATTCCTCTCTCATATCTTTCTGTGTTTCTCGGCGTAATGTATTCTTTGGCCTTCCTCTTTTTACTTTTTGCCTTGAGGGTTCCATGTGAGGGCTTGTCTCGTGACGCAGTTAGGTGCTTTTAGTAGTGTGTGTCCTATCCATGTAACGTAGAACTTCATACGTAAGTACATCAGTTCATGTTGCCATACCACATTAGCACAGGCAGATGGAATTGTCAATTCAAATCCATAAGTAGTAGAGGCAGTAAAAGTACTAAAAGTAATCAGAGAGTTTACGATTAGAAGGTATTATTCAAGTATTCAAGTATGATTCAGTGAGATAAGTTTAGAAAGTCAAAACAAGACGGGTTGAATTATCCAGAACACAAAGAGTAAATGCACCTGCTCGATTGCAAACGGTTTTCAGCCATATCGTCCAAGGTCTCTAACCATCGGTTACTATCATCTCGTGGACCCCAACCAACCGACATGACTCAGATCACTCGTCAATGACTTCATGGATTTGTGCCATGTTTTGGTTTGGCCGCCCATAGCTTTCTTCCAACCTATTCCTACACTACAAAACAAAGCTCGTCGAGGTAGTCGGTGGTTAGGCATACGCAACACATGTTCCAACCACATCAACTGATAAAGTTTCAATACTTCATCTATTGATCTGCTATTCTTACCTAGCACCTGTTTCCTAATAACGGCGTCGCTCACTCGGGTGTCCCAGGATATTCGAGCAATGCTTCGAAGACACCTATGATCGAAAACAAATAAGCGACGAATATCTTCTACTCTGACTGGCCATGTTTCACAGCCATATAGTAAGACGGAGCGAACTACTGCACAGTACACTCGTCCTCTAGTCAGCAAAGGGATATCACGACTACGCCTATTTCTAGGAGCATGTCTATGATAAAATGAAACAAGAACTGAGAGAGTGGACATCCCTGACGGCCACCACTTGAAGTAAAGAATTCCGATGACAGTTCGCCATAAGCTCTCACTCGACCAGTAGTTTTAGAGTAGAGAGCTTGTATAAGGTTAATGTACTTCTTCGGTACACCTTTCAATGACAGACACCGCCACAAAACCTCACTATCCATTGAATCTAATGCCGCCTTAAGGTCTAGGAAAACATTTATTGTAGGACGCCTAAATGTATATCTGTGTTCCAAGACCTGACGTATTGCGAAGATGTGGTCTATAAATCCATGTCCAGGTCTGAAACCAGCCTGGTTTTCTCTAGTCTGCTCTGACCCAATTTATCAACTAATCAGAAAAATCACAGGCGACATAGGATCAAGAAACAGATCGAAGGGAGGTTGAATCAAAATAAAGGTGTAATGAACGACAGATTTAAGGTCAATAACAACCAAGTCAGATTGAAGTTAACAGAACAAACTACGGGTCAAACGTGGAGAAATTCGAATCTCTCAATTCTTTTATCTAAAGTTTGTTGCTGACGATGTTGTTCATGAAGAACAATGACAGCTCCATAACCAAAACATCCAGCTTAGAGAACGAAGCACTACAACATTAACTATTGGATGTTAGTCAATGATCAGTCACTTTATCGATATAAAGTTATAGGGGTTGTTAGGTTTTGTGGAAATCACGAACTGATCAAAGTTTTATAATCATTAGAAGGCTGGAAACACTGGACGGTTGGTTCATCCTTGTATATATAGGTCACTACAGCAGTGCGCGCATCTATCAAGGTTAAACGTTTGTACGTGAGACCGATAAAATGTTGAATTCGATTCCACCTCATTGTATCACAAGCCTGAATCACCGAGGAGTCCTCTACCGGTTATTTCTATATATATTTGTATGAAGAAAATGTGTACTCCTGGATGTAGTTATCGTATACTTCGATAGTACTTGAACCGACAGCTTATATTTTATTAAATTTAAGCTCAAATCCTGTATTTTTGTCATCGAAAACAATCAGCTGTCAACTGGTAGATTTGATATTTGAACTACCATTCACTTTGGCTTCAAATATGGGTTTGTTAACGTTCGCATAAAATAATGTGGCCTACAGCACGATTACAAAGTGTAATTTCCGATAAATGAGTCTTCTAGTTAACTGAAAATGTGTCTCTGTGTGTGCGGGTTTACTACTATCAGTTTACATAGGGAAAAAAGAATTAAATTGTAGATCGTTATCATGAGTTGATCAACGTAAGGTCTCTTATTGCAAATTTTGAATTTCTTGGTATTCATTTAGTTCTGGTATGGAGCTCATCAACAGTGCGCATCCACAACCCGTAAGCGGTAATCGAACTCAGGGCTCGCAAATGCTTAATCTCTTGACCGTTGAACCAGCCTCCATTGGTGTTAATGTCTAAATTCAAAATCAGTCCACGATATTCAATTTGAACGGTATTGGGTATGAGGCTGGTACTAACCGAGAACAATAGCTAAAATTGCACACTATCGTGGACTGATTCAAGTTAGACATTAACACCGCGGTCTAGAGGTTAGGGGTTCACCCGTCACATCGATGATCCTGTGTTCCATTCTCGTTTGCGTTGTCGTGGACGTGCACTTCTGATGAGTCCTATACCAGGACGAAAAGATCGTCCAATGCTTTCAGGTTTCTAATGATGATCTTACACTGACCGATTTATGATTTCGATCTGTATCATGTCAATTTATATTTTATCATTTATATATTAGCTCATTTCTTTGTATTCTAAACTTTTTTTGGGCATAGACCATTCCCTAAAGGTGAAGCACGCAAAAAAGCTTGCCTTGAAGCATTACGTGAAGTGAATGTAAAACCAGGCTGTTATCTACCATCTAATCCAGATTCAGTTGTTTTAGAAATTGACTACATGTCTGGTACACCAATGCAATCTGCTGCGAAAGCACCATTTTTAGCACGATTCAAGGTTAGAAAAAAAAAATCGGAATTTCATTTACCTATTTATTCTTTTTTGCACATTGAAATTATCAATAAATCATTGTTAGACCTTGAAGCACTGAATGACGGCTGTTTCGTCTGGGAATGGGACTCATCAGCTATCAATGCGCATCCACGACGTGACCAGCGGAGTTCAAATCTGTTGTGTTTAGGAAGTAACTACCAAAAACAAATGGTTGAGGTCGCACAAAATCTCTAGATCAGTCAGAGTTAGACATAGCCACCGTTGAGTGCCGGCCCAGTGTGGTCCAGAGGGTTAGGCGTTCGCGTCCGCAAGATCGAAGATCCTGGTTTTTAATCCTGTGATATGCAGGAGTCGTGTATGCTCGCTGCTGACGAGTCTATATTAGGACGAAGCGACCATCATTCAGAGCCCGCTCCGTTTCTAATGTTGATCTAACAATCGATTTCTTAAAACTTGCTGTTTGTGTTTATCGATCAATCCAGAGATTATGTCATCCTGTGTGATTTTGCATAACAGACCTAAATCGAATATGTTATTATGAAACTCATCAGTTGAGATTGCATATTATGCGTGAATAGTCTCCCAAAAGAATTCCGATAGATTCTCTGTAAACGAAGCTATGATCAGTGAGACTGTAACTTGTAGATGGACCAATCAGATTTGAGATAGCGAAGTTTTTGGATTTTGGTGCGAAATATATTCATTCATATGGTTTAATGAAATTTTGGCATTATAGCTGATGTCAGTTCGTGATGAACAACTTCAACTCTGATTCGTAACGCTTACATCCAGTTCTATATCCTAATTCCTTATGTCTCACACTAACTTATAATCCTTTTTCAGCCGTAGTAAGAGTAAGTGAATATAATCACGGTCACTTTGATATCGTTCAACGGGCGTCCATTAATTATAGTTTCATCCTCGAAATCTTTGAAGAATGAATGACTGATGTTACATAACTGCTGTGTTTAAGTTTACTGACATCACACATTATTAACTCTATTGTTGTAATGTCTGATCGATGATACAGTGTCAAGGTTCTTCACTCCTTGACATTCATCAGTAACAACGAAACTGTAAGCATTCAGACAAGCATTTTAAAGGTTATAAGCAATTTGTCTCTTGAATATTCACTCACTCTATGACAGAATGTATTATTACAATGCATGGTATTCGAGATTTGGACGTGATATGCGCTAACTTTCCCTCAAGCTGACTACACAATCAAGAAGACAAGTGAGGAGTCAGTCAGTCAGATGCAACGTAGAACTTCGTACGTCTATGTACATCAGTTCATGTCGCCATACCACATCAGCACACAGATATAATTGTCAATTCAAATCCAATAGTAGAAGAGGTAGTAAAGGTATTAGAAGTAATCCGAGAGGTTAGGATGAGAAGATATTATTCAATAAGTATGATTCAATGAGAAAAGTTTAGAAAGTCAAAACTAGAGGTGTTGAAGAATCCAGAAGATTAGGATTTGAGAGAACACATAGAATAAATGCACCGGCTCCATTGCAAACGATTTTGAGCCATGTCATTCAAGGTCTGCAACCATCGATTATTATCATCTCGCGGACCCCAACCAGGTAGTCGACATCAACCGACATGGCTCAGTCCACTAGACAAGTGAGGAACAGAATGTTCGTTTAGCTACTGAACGATATATACAAATATCTATCTGTCTATATTCTCATTCGAAACCAATGATGTATATACGCTCCAGAATTCTGATGGAACCAATGGCGTATGAATGAGTTCTCAGTCACCGACTATCATGGGACTACATCTCGGCAAATGTTTCTACACTGTCTTATGGATTAGACCAGTTGGTCAAAGACCCCGTAAGTGGACTCCTAAGAACACCACTTACTACAGTTTGGCCATCCGAACAGTATCCAAAGCCGTACACAAATTTTATGATTAATTTGTGTGTGTGTGGGTGGGTGGCGCATGTATACATTTATGTTATTTGTTGCTGTTGTTTCTCAGGTTCGTCGAGTCGGTGTACAAAATTTAGAAACGGAAGCGATCAATGCCGCTAAGGAAGCACAAAATCCTACTACTACCGCTGATGATGCTTTATCACAACAAACTCATCAACATCGTGATTCCATCGACGGGATTCATCCAGTTGTGTAAGTTTTCAATAGAAATAAAATTATTGATTACTTTATGCATGACTCATTGTAACAGTCATTTTGTTCCATGAATATTGATGTTATCTGTTAGGGCAATTCATCCAATATCCTAAGAGAACTATTGGTCAATTCCTATTGGTTGATTCCTACTGGCCAATTTTATGATCGTCCTAGTAGATATCAATGTCACGTGCTCCAATGTTGTTCCTTATTGGTTGTCCTGACTATCAATGTCACTACTCCAAATGTTGCTTCCTATTGGTCGTCTTAACTGTCGATGTCACAGAATTCGATGCTGTTTCCTATTCGAACAAAATGTATAAATACGCATTATCTGTAAAGTTTTATGACCCGGACCCGGATCATTAGTTCGAGATCCTTGCCTTCTTCTGCACTCGGACCTCGTACTTTCTGGATGCTTGTAGAATACAGGTTCTACTTCATATCAAGTCTTCTTATTTTTACTAAATATGGGGGGTTGGGATAATCGGATTTGAGTAGCATGTCGTGTCTCCGGATCCTCGATTCTCGCCCTCGTGTTTTCCGACTAGGTAAACTCGTAATAGTTCAAGTATATCAAGTTGACGTGTTTTCGTGGAAGGCGTAACATTATCATTTTTTGTATTAGGTTTGCTGAACATTCTTTCAACTTACGAATACACGTCAATTGACAGGCTTGAACTATTACAAGTTTACCTTAGTCAGTGAACGAGAGCAAGGATCGATGATCCAGTGTGATACGATAGGCTACTCTAATCCGAGCGTCCCAAACCCCAATCGAATAGAAGAATGTAGAAAGTACGAGGTCCGAGTGCAAAAGAAGGCAAAGATCCCGGACTAAAGATTCGGGTCCCGGTTCATAAAACGTTACAGATAATGTGTATTTATACAGTTACCTTGAATAGGAACCAACATTGAAGTCGGTGACTTTGATAGTTAAGACGGACAATAGGAATTGACCAATAGGATTAGACTTACAAATAATTCTCTTAAGATATTGGATGAATATTCCTAACAGTAAGCAATAGACATCTAGGTTAAACAACTTTTACTTATTTACTCACTTACGTTTGTTACCTCTAATGGAGTATAGGCTACTGACCAGAGAATTATTTTGTTCTGGTTGGCGTTTTCTAATCCATGAAGTCATTGACAAGTGGACTGAGTCATGTTGATAGGTGTTGACTACCTGGTAGGGGCCGGCGAGATGATAGGAATCAATGGTTAGAGACCTTGAATGACATGGCTCAAAATCGTGTCTAATGGAGCAGGTGCATTCATTCTTTGTGTTCTCTCAAATCGTAACCTTCTTAATTCCTCATTACCTTTCATTAGATTCTACTTCTTGGAAAATATCGTCGAACCCTAATCTCTCCGATTACGCTACTTATACTTTTACTACCTCCTACTACTATGGGATATGAATTGACAATTACAGCTCTGTGTTCATCCGGTATGACAACTTGAACTGATATACATTCGTACGAAGTTCTACGTTGCTGTTGATTAATTGATTGATTGGTTAGCGTGTTTTTAGTCAACGCGTTTTTCAACGGGATGCGGTCGCTAACCCCCATGCACCTATATCCGAGCTTGGGACCAGCAGTAACCGTAGAAGGATTCCAAGCGGAGTTATAAGTTAAGCATCTCTATTATGAGGTTATGGATATCGTTGAGTTGTTTTTTTCAAATCATGAATTGACCAATGTTAGACTACCATTAGAAACCTGGAATCTGTGTAAGACAGTCGTTTCGTCCTGATATGAGACTTATCAGCTAAAAATGTACATCCACGACTCTTGGAACTTGCAGCACTTGAACCCAAGACTTTCTGTCTTGCTTGCAAACGCCTAACCTCTGCACCCTTGAATCGGTGTTAATGTCTAACTTCGATTAGTTCGTTCATAGGTCTTGCACAATCTTATCTACTGTCTTCGTTAAGCAACACTACTCGACATCCGAACCAGGATTGAACTCCACTGGTCACAACTGTTCACTAGAACCGGAAGAAACTTGTTAATCTAGTTTTTTTCTCGATTTATCTTATCAACATTCAAGTCTAAATTTTATTAATTTACACCACTTTTTTCCTCATTTCTCCCTTTATTTTACAATATAAGCAAAATGTTATCCCAAGCTGGTATCAAATACAAACGACGTAATAGTCATCATGATTTAATGACAACTAGTCCACAGAAACAACATGACATGGCTCAAAATCGTTCGCGATGGCACAGGTGCATTTATTCTTTGTGTTCTCCTCCACAAATCCTAATCTTCTGGATTCTTCAACACCTCTAGTTTTGACTTTTTAAACTTTTCTCATTAAATCATACTTCTTGAATAGTATCTTCTAACCCTAACCTCTCCGATTACTTCTAATACCTTTACTACCTCTTCTACAATTGGATTTGAATTGACAATTACATCTCTGTGCTAATGTTGTATAGCAACATGAACTGATGTACATAGACGTACGAAGTTCTACGTTGCATCTGACTGACTGAATGTGCATCCGCGACTCTTGCAACTCGCAGGACTTGAACCCAAGACTTTCTGTGTTACGTGCGACCACCTAACCTCTGCGCCCTTGAATTGGTGTTCATGTCTAACTTTGATTAGTTCGTTCATAGGTCTTGCACAATCTTATCTACTGTCTTCATTAAGCAACAGTACTCGATATCCGAAAAGGTTTGAACTCTACCGGTCACTTTCTCATGAATCTAGTCACACTAATGAAGCCCTTGTTAATCTAGTTTTTTTTTCGATTTCTCTTATCTAAATGAATAATTTACACCCCTTTTTTTCCTCATTTCTCCCTTAATTTTACAATATAAGCAAAATGTTATCACCAGCTGGTATCAAATACAAACGACGTAATAGTCATCATGATTTAATGACAACTAGTCCACAGAAACAACAATCGACGACCACGATGCCGACAACGACGACAACGATGAGTATGACGATGACAGCGACATCAGCAGCTGCATCATCATCATCAACCAATAAACCGAATAAAATTATATCACGTATCAGTAGAATTCGTCAATTTCATCCAAGTAATGTGAATACTACTACTAATACTACTGCTAACACTACTGCCAACACAACCGAAGAGAAACAACCCGCTGTAACCAGTAAATTAGGTCATGTATTTATGCAAGCGTGTATTTTTAAAGTTGGTGATGATGTACGTCAAGTAAGTTTTGAACAATTTTTTGTTTAATATTTTATGTTTATTGTTGTTACGCTTGCACGTAAAAACATGTCAACTTGATATACTTGAACTATGACGAGTTGTTTACCTTAGTCGGAAACGCGAGATCGAGGATCTGGCGACATGACATGCTACCCCGAATCCGATTATACCAACCGCCATATTAGGTAAAAGAAGACAAGACTTCATATGAAGTAGAGCCTGTATTCTACAAGCATTCAGATATCACGAGGTCCGAATCCAGAAGAGAATCAGGATCCCGAACTAGGGATCCGGTTCCTAAAACGTTACAGATAATGGGTATTTATACAGTTAGGTCGAATAAGAAACAACATCGAATTCTGTGACATTGACAGTTAAGATGACCAATAGAAAGCAACATTTGGGGTAGTGACATTGATAGTCTGGACAACCAATACGAAACAAGATTGGAGCACGTGACATTGATATCTAGGACGACCAGTAGGAATTAACCAATACTCTTAGGATATTAAATGAATATCCTAACAAATGTCTTCTTATTCTTAGTTGACCTTGAGATTACATTTACCACTCAGAAAATCCTTGACTGTCATTGGTTGTTGATGGGTTATTTTAGTACGCTATTTTTGTGGCTCTCATCCAGGGGGCGTTGCTATCATTGTATGAATAAGCTTGATTTGTGTGCTTAGCAACCTCGTATTTTCTGAATGCCTGTTGAATACCTTCGTTACCTACTGAATCCAAATAGTTGCTGACTCGTACAACTTACTTATTTACACCCGCCGTGGAGCATAGCCTGCTGGCTAACAGTCTGTAACGTACTCTGTTTTCCACTCTCGTCTGATTGTGTTCCCATGTTTTGGGGATGTTATATCCCCAGAACTCGCTTGATAAATATCTTTATTTTGGATTGATATCATGGACCGATCAGTTGACGTTGAGATCACATCTCCCACCAAAGAAATCGTTGGCTGCGATTGGTTACTGTGTCATTTGAGTGTGCCCACTAAGGGCTTTTAAAAAGAATGTAGCTCTACTACTCAAAAAACTTTTCATAAAAAGGCCATGCATAACCGGCCTCAAGCAGTTGTCCCTTGGACTCTGCGGTCACGCGACCAGGTCTCTAAGACCAACTCACCAGTGACTAGTTTCGTTAAGAAATCCTCTTAGTTCTAGGTGAGAAGACGTAATCTCGGTAGAGATCAACTCTGTCGGATATAGGCAGTAACTACCGAAAACAAATAGGTGAGATTGTTCAGAGTTAGACATGAAGACCTGCTCCCTGATCCCAGAGGTTAGGCATTCACGCGCATAACCGAAGGTCCCGCATTCAAACTCGACGAGTAGCAAGAGTTGTCAGTCAGTCAGATGCAACGTAGAACTTCGTACGTAAGTACATCAGTTCATGTCGCCATACCACATCAGCACACAGATATAATTGTCAATTCAAATCCAATAGTAGAAGAGGTAGTAAATGTATTAGAAGTAATCGGAGAGGTTAGGATTAGAAGATCTTATTCAAGAAGTATAATTCAGTGAGATACGTTTAGAAAGACAAAACTAGAGGTGTTGAAGAATCCAGAAGATTAGGATTTGAGAGAACACACAATGATTGAATGTACCGGCGCCATTGCAAACGATTTTGAGCCATGTCATTCAAGGTCTCTAACCATCGATTATTATCATCTCGCGGACCCCAACCAGGTAGCTTACATCTACCAACATGACTCAGTACACTTGTCAGTGACTTCATGGATTTCTGCCATGTATTGGTCTGGCCGCCCCTAACTTTCTTCCAACCTACTCTACCTACACCACAAAACCATCGCTCGTCGAGGCAATCGGTGGTTAGGCATAGGCAGAAGATGTCCCAACCACTTCAACTGATGAAGTTTCATTACTTGATCTATTGATCTGCCATTCTTACCTAGCACCCGATTCCTAATAACAGTGTTGCTCAATCCGGTGTCCCAGGATATACGAGCAATGCTTCGAAGACACCTATGATCAAAAACCAGTAACCTACGAATATCTTCTACTTCTTATTCAAGAAGTATGATTCAATGAGAAAAGTTTAGAAAATCAAAACTAGAGATGTTGAAGAATCCAGAAGATTAGGATTTGTGGAGGAGAACACAAAGAATAAATACACCGGCATCATTGCAAACAGTTTTGAGCCATGTGATTCAGGCTATCTAACCATCGCGATAATAATAATCGATGCGCATTGCTTGTTGATAAGTCTCATACTAGGAGGACTAAATGGCCATTGAGTTGTTTCTAATCGTAGTCAAACATTGATCGATGCCAGATTTTTAGTAATTGAATTAGTAGTCTAACAGTCTTATCCCTTTCTGAATCCCGTAAAATTCATTCATCTCTCTTTACTAGCTTTCATATATTTATGCCGTATATGGCCAGAGAGACAGGATAAGGAGAGAGAAAATATAATTTAATTTTTAATTTCACTAAATTCAAATAACATCAATCAACACAGTTAGATTTGATTGATATTTTTTGAAAGTTCAATTCAGCTGTTCAATTAAATACAACTCATAATTACAAGAATAATATTAATTGACAAATATTATTTTTGATTACGATTTCTTATCAATGTCTTGTGTTATATGAGATGAGATGAGATGCTTTATGGTTTCTTCTCTCCGTGTTTTTCCCATTTTCGCTCAATTTCTCTCTATGCCTCCAAAAACACCAACTAGGATATATTGGCATTACAAATTTTACAATTATTTAAAAATATTTTTGAACGTTGCGGCTTAGAATTATTTGTTTATCCATATCGTGTTGTTGCAACTGCACCAGGAGTAAGTTTTTCATAATGTCATAATGTTATGTGTTATGCTTAATTAGTAACGTTTTAAATGTGTAAGTTTTTTGAGGGATGGGGTTGCTAGCTGTGATGCGGCTCAATCCTCCTCCCGCATGTATTCAGGTTTTAGGAGATCAGAAATGAAGTTTCACATGAATTCGCATTGTTTACATTAGCTGTACAGTGTGATAAAGGAATGTGAAGAGAGTTAGTTGTGGAGAGAAAAGAGGTATGTGTGTGCGTGTGTGTGTAGGGAGGACTTGATTTTGACCAGTTTGGTCTCGTGTGCTGTTACGAGTATGAGGGCAGTTGTCACTTCCCGGCTGCCCACACCATGGAAGGTTGTTTCTTGACGGACCTGAAAAGGAAGATAGATTAGTGTTGGTCTTAGAGACCTGGAAGACTTAAGAACACATGTAGAGGTCAAAACAACTATCAATCAACACTGAGAAGACATAATTTTCAATACAAATGTCAAGACAGTACGAAAACTTGGAGAACTACGAAAGACATCATCCAGAAGATACAAGTATTCATTAGCAATTGTCTACGCAAATTTCTTGGAATCCGTTGGCCAAACACCATCAGCAACCGCCTACTGTGAGGGGAAATAAAAGTAGATTCCAGCAGATGAAGAAACTCGAAGAAGCACTAGAAGTGAATAGGACACACATTGAGGAAAGCACCTAACTGCGTCACAAGACAAGCCTTCACTTGAAACCTTCAAGGCTGATGGAAAAGAGGAAGATCAATCAACATATTACGCCGAGAATGGGATCAGAAATATGAAAAGACTGAACAGCATTTGTGTACACTTGTGAAGGGGGCCTCAGGGTAGACTTAGTCCGTGAGTGCTTGTCATAACACATTAGCACAGAGATACAATTGTCAATTCAAATCCCGTAGTAGTAGTGGTAGTAGAACTATTAGCAGTAATCAGAGAGTGTAGGGTTCGAAGATATTGTTCAAGAAGTAGAATCTAATGATCTCGCGGACCCCAAACAGGGCAATCTACACTGGTCAACTTGGCTTCCTTCACTTGTCAGTGACTTCATGGATTTGTGCCATGTTTTGGTCCGGCTGCCCCAGCCTAACCTTACGTATATCAGTCCGCATTACCATACCTCATTAACACAGAGAGATACGAAGCGTCTAAATGTTACTTTTCATACTAGTTACAACTACTCATCAACCAAGTCATTCAAAATTTACAGTCCGAAACACCGATCCAAACGCTAAACAACCTTCTATTAACAGTAATCCTTTCTGATTATACACAATCCCTCCCAGCAGTTAAAACACACGTACTTACAGTTGACAACAAACTATTTACCGAATTCTTGATTGATTACATCGCTTTACAAATTCACTAGTTAAAAATTATTCTGCTTAACTTAACTGATTATTTATTTATTGTACAAAACATTTTTTCCCTAATTTTAGCGTGGTGTCATTGAATGTGTACCAGATAGTAAGTCACGTGATCAGATTGGACGTCAAACTGATGGTAAATTATATGAATATTTTCTAAGTATATACGGTGATGAAACTAGTCCGAATTATCAAACGGTAAGTTGTTGGTGTGCATGTGTGCATATGTGTGCATGTGTTGTGTTGGCTTACTTTTTAGAAATGAGTTGACACAATACAATAGTAAACTATGTTTTACCACAAACAATGATCATTGACAAGAAATCACAACTATGCAGAGTGTGCACAACCGTATAAGCAATACTGTCGTTAGGAAACGAGTTCTAGATAGGTACGGATGACAAATCAATAGATGAAGTAGTGAAACTTCATCAGTTGAGGTGGTTGGGACATGTGTTACGGATGGCTAACCAGCGGCTGCCTCGACGAGCTATGTTTTGTGGTGTAGGAGTAGGTTGGAAGAAAGTTAGGGGCGGCCAAACCAAAACATGGCACAAATCCATGAAGTCACTACTGATGACTGGATTGAGTCATGTCGGTAAATGTATGCTACCAAGTTGGGGCCCATGAGATGATAATAATCGATGGTTAGACATCCTGAATGACATGTCTCAAAACTGTTTGCAATGGCGCAGGTGTATTCATTCTTTGTATTACTGCTAATACTTTTACTACCTCTACTACTTTGGGATTTGAATCGACAATTGTGTCTCTATGCTAATGTGGTATGGTAACTTGAACTGATATACGTACGTATGTACGAAGTTCTACGTTGACTGACTGACTGAATTAATCCATTCCACTTGCTCGTCTTTTGACCATGTCAACTATTCGTTTTTAATTTGGTTTGAGTATGTGTGTACAACGCTTACTTCGCTTCTTACATGTCTTTAGCTTATTTTGTCTGACTATAAATACTCGAGTCATGCTTCGTTGCATGGAGTACACACACTAAAACCCAACCGTAGCTGCTACCTTGACGTGGTGGTCAGGCTTGCCTATCATGATGACCTAGTCGAGCTATATTGGCTGGAATATATGTTCTTGTAGGTTCTACTATGTCATGCACGTCAATTTGAGAATGGTAAGACTTAAAGCAGCTACTCAAGGTCTGAGGACGGAGTCGTACTGCTGACTGTATAGGGGTGTGACAGCAGTAAAGTGTTTCCCTCGGACAACCGGCATCTGCAGCGATGCTACCTTCTCATAAAGAAGGAAGGAATTAGAAAAGGTTGACTCTAAACATGTCAAACCTCACCTTACCTCATGGATTTCCGTCTCCGGCGGCAAGGGCTTTTAAAAAGGAGTGGAGCTAACACTGTACAAACTTGTCATAAAAAAGCCGTGCGCGAAGGGCCTGAAGCAGTTGTTACCTGGGTTCTGCGGTCACGCACCTATGTCTCTAAGACCAATGCTAATCTTCATTGCTTCCAGGTTCCTCTAGAAGTACCCTTCCATGGTGTGAGCACCTGAGAAACGATATCCTCTCTCATACCGATAACAGCGCACGAGACCGAATCGGCCACTATCAAATATACATACTTTCAGGTTTAAACAATCAGGTTTATTGGCATTTTGTTGATTCTCAACTGTAGATTATTGTAATGACACAATGACGTCTCTATTTTATCATTCACTGTCGTCTGAATACCTTTTTTTTAAAAAAAGCACTAAAGTATTCTTAATTCTGTTATCAGTAAATGGTTTTGTGGAGAATGCAACATTTTCATGATTTGTTCATATTTAAATCCCATTGCTGAAAAACAGAAAACACTGAACAACTGTTCCGTCCTAATATGAGACTTTTTAGTATTATAAATCCGAGAAAAGCACACCACAGGGAATTGAATCCATCACATGTAGGCCATCAAGTTGGCATCTGATAATGTACATCTGATAGAGTTCGACTACGTCAGCTTTGAGATAGTTTGTGGTGGTGAACATTCGGTATCTACCTAAATTCCGTATATCGCCGTCCTAACGACCGTTACTACAAAACACTTAGCTGCCACAATCCAGTTATTCCTGTAGTAACTTTTCTAACACCTCTTGCTGCCTGAAACTCCGAAAATAACATTATAAGGATCGATGGGCCACGCTTTCACACACTATTAAGTAAGATTTTTACCCTTTTACTCTATGTCAGATTTCCGTCCTGACTGAACTAATCATAGAACACTCAGACAGACAGACAGATACAACGCAGAACTTCGTACGTCTGTGTACATCAGTTCAGGTTGCCATACCACATCAGCACAGAGACGCAACTGTCAGTTCGAATCCAAGAGTGATAGCGATAGTGGAAGTATTAGCAGTAATGGAGAAGATTAGGGAGCAAAGATATGATTCGAGAAGTATGATTCAGTGAAATAAATTTAGAAGGAGAAAGATAAAGATTATGAGGAATTCAGAAGATTAGAATTTGAGAGAACACAAACAGTGGATTCACCTGCGCCATTGCAAACGATTTTGAACCATCTCGTTCAAGGTCTCTAACCATTGATGACTTTCGTCTCGGGGACACTACCCAGATAGCCTACATCTACCAACATGACTCAGTCCACTTGTTAGTAACTTCACGGATTTGTGCCAAGTTTTAGTTTGGTCGTCCGTAAAACATGGCACAAATCCGTGAATTCACCGACAAGTGGACTGAGTCATGTTGGTAGATTGTCACCGATGGTTAGAGACCTTGAACAACATGGCTCAGAATCGTTTGCGATGGTGCAGGCGCATCCACTCTTTGTGTTCTATGAAATTCTAATCTTCTGAATTCCTCAAAATCTCTATCTCATAGGATACTCGTGTCACGGCGGTGGCATACAGAGTTTAGGAAGATAGCGAATGTCCATCGCTACAAGTTATCTATCGCGTCAGACAATAGTACTATTAGATGCATACTCGGTAGTCTACATGTTAAGCGTTCTCGTGCGCGCGTTATCGAACCTCCCCAGCTCGATCCGCGCATGTACATAAATCACCGATATACATTGCTGAACAGTCTCATACTCGAAATGAAATGGCTATTCAGTACTTTCAGGTATTCAATCGTCAGTCATCTAATTAGATACCGGCTCAGTGGTCTAACGGTTAGGACGTTCACGCACAATACCGAAGATCCTGGATTCGAATCCTGCCGGGTGCAGGAGTCGTGGATGCGCACTGCCACTGATGAGTAGTCCCATACCACGACGAAACGGCCGTCATTCAGTGCTTCCAGGTATCTAATGGTGGCAGTCTAACATTCATTGATCGATTCATGGTTTCAAAAATGTGTAACTTAACAATCTTCACAACCCTGTAATGCAAATTACCTGTGCTCACTAGTGACGACTAGCTTCGTGAGGAATGTTCTCCGAGTTCTAGTGGGAAGACGTGACCAGTGAAGTTCAACCTGTTCGGGTGTAGACAGTAACTACTACCGAAGACTATGTATGAGGTTTCGCAACTCCGTGAATTTGATCAAGTTAGACAATAACACCGTTAGATGCCGGCTCAGTGGTCCGACGGTTAGGCGTTCGCCCCACAATAATACCGAAGGTCCTGGGTTCGAATCCTGCGAGGTGGTGCAGGAGTCGTGGATGCGCACTGCCTGCTGATGAGGAGGAGTCCCATGTGCCAGGACGAAATGGCCGACTTTCAGTGCTTCCAGGTTTCTAATGGTGGTCTAACATTCATTGATCGATTCATGGTTTCAAAAAATGTGTAACTTAACAATCTTCACAAATCCCCCCATGTCACATGACTATTCATTTCAACTGTGTGTGTTTTATCTTTTCTCATCATCTATTCGGTATCCATTATTGTTTATTACTGTCTGTATACATCATGATAGTGTATGATTTTGATTCACTCTAACCTTAATCATCATCATCTATAATATAGCCCAGGCGGCGTTAACTAGTACAAATTCAATGGCACCATTCATTTGTGTATTAACCAAGCATGTATATTCACCGAATTATAATTCAGTGATGAGATTCATTTCTTATGATAACAACATATTATTACCCGAGATTTGTAATTCAGTGCATAGTTCGTAAAGTGTGTAAACGCAGTTACTTACTTACTCGCTGATTTACTTCCAGCTGTTTTCCCCAACCCCCCTCCCCGAAATGGGAGGGTGGTGGGCGGAGTAATAGGCGACCGCCGACTAGTATTCTCCAAACTAAGTGATAGATAATGGGTTTTTTTAAAAGGTTTCTCAAATTTATTTACAAACATGTGAATGTACATTGTAAGATAATTAGGAGAGAGAGAGAGAGGTAGGTAGGTAGGTAGGGATAGGAACAAGGACAAAATGGAACAACAGACAGAATGTGACAGACAAACAGACAAACACACATTACCTGTATACACCGGATTTGGTGGCCATTATTTTTCGGTTATACATATCTAAATGTGTGTGTGCGTGTGTTTGTGTATGGTTCATGTTGTATTCATTGTGTATGTGTATACATTCATTTTTCCTGAGTATTATAGAGTATGCCAGATAAAGTATAGTTAGGAAAGGCTAGTAAAATATTTTTGGTTATAGAGATTGTTCGTTTATCGTTGAAATTATGAATCGATCAATGTTAGATAACAATTAAAAGTGCAAGCACTGAATGGCCACTTCGTCCTAGTTTGGGACTACTCATGAGTGTCGGTGCGCTTGCAGTTATACTTGCTAACCAAAGGATGAGTGTACTGTGCAACAGTTCGCTCTGTCCTACTTTATCACTGTGAAACATGGGCATTAAGAGTAGAGAACTTTTGTAGGTTACTAGTCTTTGATCACAGGTGTATCCGAAGCATTGTTCGTCGTGTATCGTGGGACAACCGTATAAGCAATTCTGTCGTTAACAATGAAACTTCATCAGTTGAGGTGGTTGGGACATGTGTTGTGTATGCCTAACCACCGATTGCCTCGACGATCTATGTTTTGTAGTGTAGGAGTAGGTTGGAAGAAAGCTAGGGGTGGCCAAACTAAAATATGGTAGAAATGCATGAAGTCACTGACAGGTGTACTGAGTGATGTTGGTAGATGTAGACTACCTGGTTGGGGTCCGCGAGACAAAAGTCATCAATGGTTAGAGACCTTGAACACGACATGGCTGAGAATCGTTTGCAATGGCTCATGTGCATCCACTGTTTGT